TGCTGCTCGCTGTCGCCTAGACTACGTCGCCAGTCTTGTTGCTGAGTCTGAGTCTGTCTGTCCTCCGTCCGTCGGGGGTGAGTGTGCCCTTGGCACGGACGTCCTTGAGGACAGGCAGGAGGAGTTCCAGTGCTTGGCCGCTGCTTCACCTCATCTCGTGTCCGTACTGCTTACCCCTGAGGGAGACCCGGATGCACTTGACATCCCGACTCCGCGCTCTTACGCGGAGGCGATAGAGGGTCCCTACTCCTCTCAGTGGCAGGCAGCTATGGACGCAGAGATGGCTTCCTGGAAGTCCACAGGCACCTACGTTGACGCTGTTCCCCCTCCTGGGGCGAACATCGTCAGTGGCATGTGGATTTTCAGGGTGAAGCGACCGCCGGGTTCTCCGCCTGTCTTCAAGGCGCGTTACGTGGCTCGTGGCTTCAGTCAGCGGCAGGGAGTTGACTACTTTCAGACCTTCTCTCCCACCCCGAAGATGACCACTCTTCGGGTACTGCTGCACGTAGCTGCTCACCGTGACTACGAGCTACACTCTCTTGACTTCAGCACTGCTTTCTTGCAGGGCAGCCTGCACGAGGAGATCTGGCTGCGTCGCCCACCTGGCTTCACTGGGTCTTTTCCTCCTGGCACCCAGTGGAGCCTACGGCGGCCAGTCTACGGTCTCCGTCAGGCACCGCGTGAGTGGCACGACACACTGAGGACTACACTTGCGGCTCTTGGGTTTGCTCCCTCTACTGCCGACCCGTCGCTGTTTCTGCGCACCGACACTTCTTTGCCGCCGTTCTACATCCTCGTGTACGTCGACGACTTGGTCTTTGCCACAGCTGACACTGCTGGACTAGCCCACGTGAAGTCCGAGCTGCAGAAGAGACACACGTGCACTGACCTGGGTGAACTGCGCAGCTACCTTGGCTTGCAGATCACTCGGGACAGAGCACGCCGCACCATTACCCTGACTCAGTCACACATGGTGCAGCAGGTCCTTCAGCGCTTCGGCTTCACGTACTCCTCGCCTCAGGCCACTCCTCTGCCTACTCGCCACTCGCTCTCAGCTCTGCCTTCGGATGAGTCCGTAGAGTCGAGTGGCCCGTACCCAGAGCTTGTTGGCTGCCTCATGTACCTGATGACCTGCACACGACCTGACCTTGCATACCCTCTTAGCATTCTTGCACGCTATGTTGCTCCTGGGAGACACAGACCGGAGCACATGGCTGCAGCGAAGAGGGTGTTGCGCTACTTGTGCAGTACGTTGGGCATGGGGCTTGTGCTTGGAGGGCAGAGTCCAGTGGTCCTTACTGGGCACGCAGACGCTTCTTGGGCTGACGACCAGGCTACGCAGCGGTCGTCACAGGGTTACACCTTCAGCCTTGGTTCCGGCTCTGTTTCGTGGCGGGCTACCCGCTCGTCTTCTGTTCTCGGCTCCAGTTGTGAGGCTGAGATCTACGCAGGAGCCATGGCTGCACAGGAGCTTCGCTGGCTCACCTACCTGCTGACTGACCTCGGAGAGCTGCCTCGTTCTCCTCTAGTGCTTTACGTAGACAACAAGGCCATGCTGGCCTTGTGTCGGGAGCAGCGACTGGAGCACAGAACGAAGCACATTGCTCTCCGCTACTTTCTTGCTCGTGAGCTGCAGCAGCGTGGTTAGCTGCGTCTTGCGTACGTGGCCTCTGAGGCCAACACCGCTGATATCTTCACCAAGGCGCTTGCGCCTTGTGACCATCAGCGCTTCTGTACTCAGCTGGGCCTTGTGCCTACCTTGCCTCACTTGCTCACCTCTTGACCTTGCTTGTGCTGTTACATATATATATACCTGCTCTTGTTTGTCTAGCCTTTATATATATATGTACTCCTGCATGTGAACTGGCCTTGTGGCCTTGAACTTGTGCTCGGAATGTGTGGTGACTTTGTGATCCACCCTGAGCTTGCTTTGCTTTACTTTGCTTGACTGGTCTTGTGACCCCTTGTTCTCCCCCACTTTGCCTATGGGGGTGTGTCAGAATATTATAGCTCATGCATATTGTGTAGGCTATAGTGGGGTAGCCCATAAGGGGTACAACCCAATTAGGGTTAGTACTTGTACCCAATTCATTCATAGTTCATTCATTCCTTGTTTCTTATCACGAGGAGCCCGAAGGATCGAGTTCTTACTGCGCTGGAAGGACCGTACACCCACCGAAGACAATTGGGTTCCCCTAGACAGAATCGAAAACCACCCCGTCCTCACCGAGTATCTGCGCAGCCGAAATTTCAGGGATGTACACGCACTTTCGTAAGGAGGACCTCCTTAGGGGGGGGGGGTAGTGTAAGGAAAATCCCTTTTCCTTACTTCGCATCCCTGCTCAACGCGTACATCACTGTAGCACCACAGTCAGCACCGTTACCACTCGCAACTGTCGCATCGACAATCCGCCCGCCACCTTCGCACGTCGCACCCGACCTCACGGCTCGGCGGGTAACCCGCGCTCCGGGCCTCCGCTTCGACACTTTTCCCAACCTCAGCCCTAGACCCGTCGCGCGACAACCACAGTCCATTACCGTTACCACTGTAGTTTCGCTATATATACTTCGCTCATGCCTTCGCTCATTGTACTCTTGCTTCGATAGTGCAATTCTCGTTCGTTCACTCAATTGCACTCGTAACATTATGCCTTTCTCCCTTCAACCACAGAATCAATCATATTATAATCCTCACACCACACATACCGAACTTTGATTAGGGCATGCTGTAAAATGTCATTTGGCGTCATTTAATCCAATATATGTGTGGAGATAGCCCAAATATGGTGGGAGTAGTATACGAGTCCCTAAGAAAGCGAAAGTAGTTCTGTGACCTTATCATAGTGAATGTAGAACATTATATACAGGCAAATATACAGCTAAAGCTAACCATTTACGCTGAGGGGGTTAGCCTGTGGCAGTGAGTCATTTATAACGAGTTGGCAACATCGTGTACTCGAGCAGTGCTGCCAGGTAAGGATTCTGAAATTCCTTACAAGCAGCTTCATATCTTCATTTCACAAACCCTTTCCCCCTCGCTCCGCAGCCAAATCTGCGTTCCTATTGGGTTTAATATATGTCACGTCACCGCCAATTCACCGTTGTTCTCACCACACATGCACTGCTCCATCGCCATGGTATCTTCCCAAATCTCTGCAGCACTGTTGCGCGCCCAATCTCGAGGCTCATCACAGCCACACAACGATCGAGAAACCTGGATCCCTCCTCCCGCCTAGGTTGATCTTTCAGCTTCCCCCCTTTTTACTCCCTACCATCCACCCCAACATCTACAACCAGACAAAACCGTTCTGAAAACGTCCGAAACAGCGCATACCGTCTCTCACCTACACGCATCCTTTCTCTGCTCAAATCCTCTCAACCCCGCTCAATACAACTGGGGAAAAATATTTTCCGCCTCACATCCTCCCTGATCGGCCCTCCCCTCCCTTCTCTCTCCTCCGCCCCATCCATTCCTTGGCATTCCCTCCCATGATTCCATCCCATCTCTCCCCCAACCCAACGACCTACCTCCATGCTGTGAGCAACAGCACCAGAAGCTAGCTCTCTTGCCTAAACCTCTGGAGGATTTTTTTTCCAGCCACCTTCGCAGTTACTGATTCCAGCTTCATCCCCCGTTGGTTCTCTGTCAGCTTCTCCAGTCATTCTGACGATTTTTTGTAGCCACCACTGTTGTTAGTCGAGTTTTGTCGGCTGCTAATACTTGCTAGCTGGCCTGCATGGTTTCATCGACAACATGAGTACTACTTAGGAGGCCTTGGTTCCCTTGTTGTGCAAACATTTGGCAGTCAACCATCTCCCTCTCTACCTGTAACTCCCTTTCCAAGCCACAGCGAGGGTTTCGTGGAGCAGAGCAAGCAAACCGTGCTGTCTTGGTCTCAAGACCAATCGTCCTCATGTCTCGATCATTCTCCTCCATTCGCTTACACGTTGACATCTCCCCACGAGACGTCCACTCGGAGCTTAACAAAAGCTTCCGGTTACGCCGGGTCGCTTCAGAACCGGACCTGACTCTCTCCTTAACCGCATCGTTCGCTGCTGCTACGTCCCTCTCGCCTCTCGGGCCGTTGCGCCAGTCCCTCTCCTCATCCCCGCCGCTCCCAAGGCCAGCTGTATCAAGCAACGGCACCGCACCGAGAGCGGCGTATGGCACACGAGCAAAACCGTCTCGCGGGGTTCGACGGCAGCGCGGGGGAGCAGAGCTCATGCGACAGGAGCCATGGTGGTGGTCACAGAAGGGTCAGGGTCAGGTTCAGAGTCAAAGCCAAGTCGCTCGCGCCAGCCGTAGCAGTTCCGGAACAGACGGGCCCCGATCTAAGAGGAGTTTAAGTTCACGTCACCGCATGCCGGCAGCGTCGACTGCAACGGTGTCCGCACGTGCCGTATCGAGATCATCACCATCACCGTCGTCATCGTCATCGTCATCGTCATCTTTTGGAGGATCGTCGGTTTCCACCGCAACCGTCGCTTCTCGAGTTTCATCTCTCACAGTTGCTGCATCGAACGACTATCTGGACGTTCTGCACGATCCGTGGAAAGTCAACGGCCTGGATTTGCTGGGGCCCAGTTACGCAATAAGCCAGCGAACAAGAGTGTGCCCGGATTTCAGCGGCTCGGGGTGGCAGCTCGGCTTGTGTGAGCGAGACGGCGCAGCCGAGTTAGGGGTAGGGGGAGCGAGAGGTGTGGACGGAGATTCGGGTGTCGGTCGAGCGACGGGGAATCAAGCGCTGGCGGGCTGTGGTGGTACCGCGACAGGTGCGAGGGGAAGCCCGATCCGTGGAAGGATGTCGAATAAGGAATCGAGTCAACACTCACAGCCTCGCTTTCACACGGCAGACAGCGAGACGGAAGAAACAACATACGCGAGCGGCAATAGGGGGTACGGACAGGGGCACGGGCAGGAGCACGGGTACGGGCAGGGGCACGGGCAGGTATGCGCGGGGCGGGTGATGAAGGGCAAAGGGCCGGGGCAGTATTTGTTCATGTCGGACCGGGGCGAGGGTTTCACGAGTGTGGACGTAGGGTCGAACGGTATGCCTGTTGTGTGTAACTCGCGCGGCTGCCGCCCCGTGCTTCTTAACGACCGCTTCCGCGACTGGAACGGCCGCCCAAAATCCGTGCCGCGCTGGCCGATGGACGGCGTGGGGCGCGGGGAAGTTGGCGGCGAGGCGGGCGCGGTAGCTGGCGGAGAGGGGGTGCGCGGGTTGGAGGTGGAGGCGGGAGGAAGGGGGGAAATGACGGCGATGGGCAGAGCGAACGGGGGTGATGTCAGAGCGAATGGATTTGCTTACCGTCACCATGGCCAGGGGGAAGAGAGCGCGACGGGGCATTCGACGGGGCACGCGGGGGTCGCACAAGATCCTTGGCACGGCGTGGGGGGAGCAACCTCTTCCGCCTCCGCCTCCGCTTCCGCAGACGACGATAACCACCTGCGCGGTTCTCTCCCCCCCGGGTTCCACAGTCCCAGCGCGCCCTGGGTTCCGCCTGACGTTCCCGTCGCGCGTGACGGCGCTGCCCCACACCGCGGGGACCTCGATCTTTCCGCGCCAAATCTCCGAGTGCCTGTGGTGGTTCCCCCGCTGGTGGCGGTCGGTCGGCGCGCGCAAGGGCCCATGACAAGCGGTCTCCCCGCTTTCGACGGCGGCGGCAGCGGTAATAGCAGCGGCGGAGGCGATGAGTACGTGGGCGGCAGGGCGCTCGGTCACGATGGCGCGAGTGAGATATTGATGGACGACCGTCGGATCTGGGCGCCCATGAACGGGATACGCGCACGACCGTTGGACGGGAATTTCGCTGGTGGCGCGGCTGGCGCTGCTTGTACCGCCGGTGACGCCGCTGATGGCGCATGCAACGCTGCCGGTGCTGGGCGAAAAGCAAACGGTGTGCCTATTCCGTCTAACGGCTCACCGATGCCGCCTTATCACCAAGAATCCCTTTCATTCCAGCAGCAAGAACAGCATCATCATCATCATCATCATCATCAGCAGCAGCAGCAGCAGCAAGAAAGGCGGCGCGGCGACGAGCAGAGCGGGGTGAATGGAGCGCACGGCGCGACGCTGGAAAGCGATGGTGGGAGCGCGCGGAGTGGGGGAAACGGGCGCGGGCATGGGGCGGGGCGGGTGTGGGAGGGGAGCGCGGGTGCGCGAGAGCAGGCGCAGGCGGAGGCGGAGCGGGAGCGGGAGCGCGAGGACATGGAGCAGTATTACCGTGCGGCGTTGATGGAGCATCCGCAGCAGTCGCTCTTCCTGGGCAACTACGCGCAGTTCCTCGCAGAGGTACGCCCGCTGCGCTGCGCCGAGCTGCCATGCGCTGAGCTGCGCTGCGCTGAGCTGCCATGCGCTGAGCTGGCTACGCTGAGCTGCCATGCGCTGCAAGGGATGTTGGCATGACGGCGTGGCGGCTTGGCGGCAGTAGCCGTCGTCTGGTACTACTCATCGCGTTTTTGGGGAGAGCAAGGATCGTAATACTTCTCGGATTTCACGCCCGTTGCCCTCCCCTCCGTAGATCTCTCATCTCCTTTCCCTCTTCCGCCTCCCCGCTCCCACCTCCCTCCCATCTCATCACATCCGTTTCTTACCGACCTTCCCCACTCCCCTCTGCTCTCTCCCCACTCCACCCCCTCCCCCCCCCCCCCCCCCCCCCCCCCTCCCCTCTCCTCCTACCCCCCTCCTACCCCCCCCCTCCCCTCTCCTCCTACCCCCTCTCCTCCCCTCCCCTCCCCCGTCCCCTCCCCCGTCTTCTCCACCCGCAGGGCAAGGACTACGAGCGCGCGGAGGAGGCGTTTCGGCGCGCGGCCGTGGCGAGCCGCGCGGAGGGGGGCGCGGGGGAGGCGGAGGTGCTGGTGGCGTGGGCGAAGGTGGTGTGGGAGGCGGGCGGAGACGCGGAGCGCGCCATGGCGCTGTTCGAACGCGCTGTGGAGCTCTCGCCTGATGACTGGTGCGTGCGAGCAGGGGAACGGGCAGGGGAAAAAAGGGGGAAAAGGTAAGAAAAAGGGAGAATGGGAAACTAGGGGAGGTTGCAGGGGTTGTGGATTCGGCGGATGGTGAGGGGGTTGTGTCAGGTGAGAGTGGGGGAAACAGGGCGTTAGTGGGGTTGCAGGTTTGGGGGAATGGGGGGCGGGAATCGCGGATTACACAACAGAGACCTTGGCTGTGGATAGAGAGCCGTTGTCTCATGGCTGCTGCATGCAGACTAACAGCAGTTTCTGTCCTTGGTTTCAGCACACCCACCGGGACTGCCGTTTTGTCCACTTTCGATTCGCCTCTCACTTTCGCCCATCCTCGCCCTTCCTCAACCCATTCTCACCAGCGGGTCCCTTCGTCCGTCCCCTGTCTCCCCCAACCCCACCCCTCCCTCCCTCCCGTCCTCTCCCTTGCGTGTGCAGTTTTGTGCTGGCAGCGTATGCGAGCTTCCTGTGGTCTGCAGAGAGCGGGCAGGAGCCGGCAGCAACGCAGGTGACGGTGGGCGGAGGGGTGTGCGTGGTGGATTGGGAGGAGGAAAATGAGCACAGTCACGGGCAGCAGCAACAGCGTCAGCAGCAACAGCCACTGCAGCAGCAGCAGCAGCAGCAGCAGCAGCAGCAGCAGCAGCAGCAGCAGCAGCAGAAGGGGAGTTATGAGCAATTTGCATCAGCAGAGCGTGGTGCCCAAATTCCCCACCTTGCTCAGCCTGCTCAGCCTGATATTTCGCGTGGAGGAGATGACCGGCTGTGTTCCTGCCATTCTCCAGCAACTCTGCAGCAGGCTGGTGACTGCCCTAGTGGTGCCGGTAACTGCTCTCGCTGCTGCGGTGATCACACCAACTCTGGCACTGGCAGCAGCAGCAGCAGCAGCAGCAGCAGTGATCTTGCAAGAAATGTCCTGAATAGCGAAGCAGCAGCAGCCGACAGCCCAGGCTTGGAAGACGAGAGTCTCAGCAGTTGTAAGGTGGTGTCTCAAGGGCAGGTGCAGGAGCAAGAGCAGCTAGATGGGCGTGCCAGCCATCATCATCATCATAGCAGCATCGCCTGCAATGGCACTGCAAGCAATGGCACTGCAACTCCAAACGGACCCGCTGCTCCTGCTCTTCCTCCCCACCCGCACGCAACCGGCACGTGCAGTGGTGTGGGCAACCCTGGTCGCAGCAGCAGCGCTCTTCTTGGTGTGTCTGCCTTGCCAGCTGTGTGCACTGGCTGCATGAGTGTGGGCATGAGTGTGGGCATGGCTGTGAGCTGCTCCTCTGCTCCAGAGACAAGTTGTCATCAGTCTGCTGCTGCTGCAGATGCTACCGCTGTACCCGTGACCCCTCTGCCATACGTGGATGCAGCGCAGTCCTAAGCCGTAACTTGGAAATCTTGTTTCTGTGTGTAGTGTGTACATCTCGTCTTGCATGCAAGGAAGTGTATGGAATGGATAGCTCACTGTGTCAGGGTTGGTTTGTGACCACACCACACTCAAATAGTCTTGTTACGATAGCATAGCAGAGCCCGTACAGTGTATAGTGACTGTGTCGAATAAGTACGAGTCGAATGTGTATTCGGACATTTCTCTCGTCGAATTAGTTGCCCTTCTCTTAAAAGAACATGTTTTTTTTTACCCCGACTGGTTTTAAGGTTAGGCTGACGGAATCAGGGTGTACACTACCCTTTTACCGAAACTTTTCTAACGCGAATCAGACCACAGTCCGCTTTGTGACAAAATGTACCACACCCCCACAAACACCGGTTGTCGCTTGTGCCCACGCGCAAAACAATGCCTCGCTGTCGGCAACGCGCCATGTTGCTTCTTTTGTTGTTTCTCCCGCAGGGCTGCCAACTCATTCTCGAATCTTGCCACCCGTCGCCACGCCCACCGCCAACACAGCAGAATTTGCTGTCAAGGACAGCTTCAAGCTGTCCTTGACAACAGAATGCAGCAGCAGTCCTGCCGTGCTGGCCATACACTTCCCGCCTCGTGGAAGAAACGGCCCTTGAGAGGCAGCCAGGGGGTCGTTCTCTTCGAGGGGGTCTCTCGCTTGGCCCTCATTCTCAACCATGCTCCAGCTTTCACCTCAACAATGCCACTGGAGAGCCCGATCTACCTGATGGCGCGAGAAACGGCCTCTCAGTGCTGGGCGTTTTACCACGCCTTAGCGAGAACTACGCCGTGCCCATCGCTCAGCCGCCGACTCGTGAGCCGTCACCTGAATGTGTGGTAGGAACGGTTTATCCGTTTGAGCCGCCAGACTCACCCACGGCGTGGGAGCCACATCCTGACATAGATTTGGTTCCCGGAGGAGGCGAGGGCTCGTCAAAGCCGCCTACTGCTTCGCCTTCGACGGTCAGCACCGCGCCCGTCAAGCGACCGCGTGTGGGAGTTACGTACAAGCAGCAGACGCTGTGGGGCGCTCCTCCTCCGAAAAACGCTACTTCACACAAGCGCCCTGCTCCTTCGGCCGACCCGACGCCACCCACCGCTCTGGCGGATGCTGAGTATGAGTCGGTGAAGAAGACGTTTGAGGGTCAGTGGGCAGGTAGCTTCAAGTGGTTACGTTTGCTCCGCATGTCTAACGGCCGTCCGTCTTTGAAGTGTGCGATTTGTGTGAAGCATGGAGATCCACTGGCGCACACCGCGTACGGGGCGAAGGGTGAAGGTGCTCGGGACCTCCAGATCGGCAGCATCCGCGCTGACGAACATGCTGCGGGATGATGCATGGCGTGTCTCCTTCCCCAACATCATGCGGATGTGGCAGTCAGTGGCCGTGCTGCCATTGAGCACGGTTGAATGCGAGCGTGGCTTCTCGAAGCAGAATCTGATCAAGACGTGGGGCCGTGGCAGCCTTGGGGACACAAGCCTGGAGCATCTGATGCGTTGCTCCCTGCTGCGGTACGATGTCGACTGGTTTGAGGTGGTCGCTATCTTTCGTGGAGAGAGGCTGAGGCGATCCACCAGGGAGTTCGACCCCACCAGAGCTTCACAGACTCAGTTTGTAGAAGATGTAGGCAGTGGGGGTGGCACTGAGTAGGTGTGTAGTTCATGTGTGACTTTTGTAGAGTGAATGGACTTTGGGTGTATTACTTTATTTCTGATTTTATTAAAACCGTAGCTCACAAAACTGTAACCAAAACAGAATTGGCCCGAAAATACCCTGCTCAAATCAGCCTAGTGCCAGAGTTACCCTGCTGAAATCAGGCTACGGAAAATTCTACCCTAGGGGTCTGTTCTAGGAGGGGCTGGTACCCTGATTTGTAAGAGTAGGCCTAAACCAATTTTGGGCCCTGTCGTACTGGTATCAGGTAAAAACCTTAAACCTACCTACAGCGAGCGTTTTCGATCACATGTACTACTGTATCAAATATCAAGGAACAGTGAGGATGCTGAGGCCAACTGCACTTTCAGCATAACCTGACTAGAAAAACGTGAGCACGGTTCCTCCTCAATAGTCCACCCAGGTACACAACTGTCACTGCAGCTGAAGCACCCAGGATCTGCACTACTACCGCTACTACGGTACCGTACGTGTGTTCTTGCGACACAGCGCGGCTAGGCTACAGCTAGAAAGAGAGAGGGAGCTGACCCGGGAACGGGCGCTTCGGCAAGCAGCAGAGGAGAGCCATTTTAAAGGACGCATCAAAATCAAGCCCAAGCTACGGTACAAGTTGTCTCAAACCTGGAATAAAGTTGCGTGAGAGCTAGAGCTTGAATCTTCAAGTAGCCTCAAGAAAGCCTCGATCTCAAGATGTGTGAGAGAGTGAGAGCTAGAGCTTGAAGAAGACAGAGAGGCGGTTGAGGGAGAGGCGCTTGACCTCTGCGCGCAGGGAGAAAGCCAACCTTCAAGACACCGCCAATCTCAAGTATGAGTCGTCTCAAAACCCGCTTCCAAGTAGCGCGTGTGAGAGCTAGACCTTGAAGAAGACGGAGAGGCGGTTGAGGGAGAAAGCCAACCTTCAAGACGCCGCAAATCTCACTACGAGTCGTCTCAAAACCCACTTTCAAGCGCGTGTGAGAGCTAGAGCTTGAAGAAGACGGAGAGGCGGTCGAGGTAGAGGCGCTTGACCTCTGCGAGCAGGGAGAAGAGGCGTGCGTCCGCCACTCTCTCCTCTGCCACCAGCGCCGCCTTCAGCTGCGCTGCTCTCTCGTACTGCGGGGGAGAGAAGGGGAGCAGGTGGAAATTGCTATTGAGGTGCTTCAAAACAAGAGTTGAACGTCCGCCACTCGCTCCTCCGCCACCAGAGCCGCCTTCAGCTGCACTGCTCTCTCGTATTGCGGGGGAGAGAGGGGAAGCGGTGGGAGTTGTTACTGAGGCGCGGCTTAAAAAAAAGGCGTGCGTCCGCCACTCGTCTCATCTCATCTCATCTCATCTCATCCCATCCCATCCCATCCCATCCCATCCCATCCCATCCCATCCCATCCCATCCCATCCCATCCCATCCCATCCCATCCCATCCCATCCCATCCCATCCCATCCCATCCCATCCCACCCCACCCCACCCCACCCCACCCCACCCCACCCCACCCCACCCCACCCCACCCCACCCCACCCCACCCCACCCCACCCCACCCCACCCCACCCCACCCCACCCCACCCCATCCCATCCCATCCCATCCCATCCCATCCCATCCCATCCCATCCCATCCCATCCCATCCCATCCCATCCCATCCCATCCCATCCCATCTCAGCTCAGCTCAGCTCAGCTCAGCTCAGCTCATCTCATCTCATCTCATCTCATCTCATCTCATCTCATCTCATCTCATCTCATCTCATCTCATCTCAGCTCAGCTCAGCTCAGCTCAGCTCAGCTCAGCTCAGCTCAGCTCAGCTCAGCTCAGCTCAGCTCAGCTCAGCTCAGCTCAGCTCAGCTCATCTCATCTCATCTCATCTCATCTCATCTCATCTCATCTCATCTCATCTCATCTCATCTCATCTCATCTCATCTCATCTCAGCTCAGCTCAGCTCAGCTCAGCTCAGCTCAGCTCAGCTCAGCTCAGCTCAGCTCAGCTCAGCTCATCTCATCTCATCTCATCTCATCTCATCTCATCTCATCTCATCTCATCTCATCTCATCTCATCTCATCTCATCTCATCTCATCTTCATCTTCATCTCATCGTTTCGCCTCCCCTCTTCTGCGTTGATAGCAGCATCTAGCTGGGTCTTGAGCTCGTGCGGCCTCATCTCTAGCTCTCGCACAATTCGACAGTATGCTGAGGTGACTTACATGTTGATGTTGCTTGATGTGCCTCACCTCTTCAGCATTGATAGCAGCGTCGAGCTGGGTCTTGAGCTCCTGCGGCCTCATCTCCAGCTCCCGCATGCGCCGCGCCAGGTCTGCCAGCAGTGATGCGTCGTTCTCTGCCTCTCGTGCTGCCGTGGGGAGGGGGGAGGGGGGGAGGGGGGAGGAAGGGGATGAGGGAAGAGACAGAGATGGTAACTTATGAGACAACGCAAAAGTCATCTCCTTGCGCCAGGTCTGCCAGCAGCGATGCGTCGTTCTCCACCTCTTGTGCTGCCGTGGGGAGAGGGGAGGAGGTGGGAAGGTGGGGAGAGGGAAGGTGACCTCTGAGTCGACTCAGAGTTCGACTCGTTGTGCCGCGCCAGGTCCACGCCTCGCATCTCCAGCTCCCGCATGCGCCACGCCAGGTCTCCCAGTAGCGATGCATCGTTCTCTGCCTTGCGTGCTGCTGTGGGGCGAGGGGAGGAGGTGGGAAGGTTGGGGGAGAGAGAGCGGGGATAACGAGGAAGGTTTTGAGTGCAGCGTGCATGACTGCACTCACTCAAATTCTCACTCCCCCATCCCTCAATCAGTCACTCACTCACTCAATCCCTCACTCAGTGGTGCACTCACTCAATCCCTCCCTCCCTCCCTCCCTCCCTCCCTCCCTCCCTCCCTCCCTCCCTCCCTCCCTCCCTCCCTCCCTCCCTCCCTCCCTCCCTCCCTCCCTCCCTCCCTCCCTCCCTCCCTCCCTCCCTCCCTCCCTCCCTCCCTCCCTCCCTCCCTCCCTCCCTCCCTCCCTCCCTCCCTCCCTCCCTCCCTCACTGCACCCACCGATGGGGTTGAGCAGCATGCGTTCGATGAAGTCGCGGTTAGAAGCCAGGATGCACCACCGCTCCACTCGCAGCGGCTGCCTGTACCGCAGCGCCAGCGCCATCGCCTGCTTGTTGCGAGTGCGGGGAGGGGTTGGAGTGGGTGCAGAGGGGTGGATGGAAGTAAGGGGGAGGTGAATTTGAGAGCCAGGATGCACCACCGCTCCACTCGCAGCGGCTGCCGGTAACGCTGCGCCAGCACCATCGCCTGATTTCGTGTGCCGGGAATACGAGGGGTTCAAATGCGTGGAGAGGGGTGGATGGATCATGGAAGTGAAGGGGCAAGGGGAGGAGAAAGGAGGGGGGAATGAGGAGAAAAGGTGCATTTCCGGTTCTGCAGAACCAGTGCCTTTGCCTGGAGAAAAGGTGCCTGCAGAACTGTTTTCCAGTGCCTTTGCCTGGAGAAAAGGTGCCTGCAGAACTGTTTTCCAGTGCCTTTGCCTGGAGAAAAGGTGCCTGCAGAACTGTTTTCCAGTGCCTTTGCCTGATCGCTGCGTGTGATGTGCACATTGCAAACCGAGCGAGAGAGGGAGGAGCATTGTTGAGTACAACTGTTTATGGTGCGCTAGATGTGCCAGTTGCTTGTCTTGTCTTGTCTTGTCTTGTCTTGTTTGTTTGTTTGTTTGTTTGTTTGTTTGATTGTTTTTGTTTGGCTGGAATTCTTTGGCGGAAGGAAATCTGCGCAGAGAGGCAGCGAACCGTGCCATGGAGCGAGTGCGTGCGCGCGCGCGTGTGTGTGCGTGCGTTTGTGTGTGAGCGCGTGTATGTGTGCGCGCGTGTGAGTGCGTCACCTCTCACCTGAGGGAAGGAGGAGTCTACTCGTGAGAAATCCCCTTTCTTCTCGTCCAGTAGCACAAACTACACTGCCCCTATACCCTTTTGAGACACCTCAAAAGTCGACTCCTGTCCAAGCCGGGGTTTCCGTGATATCCACACACTTGCGTAGCGGAGGGGGCTTCTTGAAGGGGGGGGGTAGTGTAAGGAATTTTCTCGACATTCCTTTCCGCGACCAGCAACATCGCGTACAGCAGCAGCCGTTGTTCGCCCGTCACTGATAACGGGGCTTCGCCAACTTTGCGTGCACTGTTTCACCAAACCATGCACCGCTGGCCCGGCCGAGTCGGCCTACGCTTCGGGGCTAGCCCGAACCTCGATGCCAGCCTAGCACTAGCTAGCTCGCACGCACCGCGTAACCGTTGCATGTTTTCGCACATAAGTATTTGCTCATGTCTTCGCTCATACTTGGTACTCTTTTGACACCCTAGTGCAATCCTCGCTACTCCGTTCCATTGCACCAGAGAATGGGGCCTTTTGAGGCCTTTTGAAATCACCTGGGGGAAGGAGGAGTCAACTCGTGAGAACTCCCCAGTCTTTTCATCCAGAAGCACAAACGATACTGCCCCTATATCCTCGCTAATAGCATGCACCAGCGTTCGCTGCAAGTCCATGTCGCTCAGCCTCTCTAGCCCCTCCAACGCTGATGGGGATTTGGGTCAGGGAAGCGAGGATTGATGGGGGAGGTGGGGGGTGGTGGATGGGAGGAAGTGGGAGTTGCAGGTTGTAAAGCTGGCGTGGAAAGGCGGGAAAGAAGGAACTGTAGAGTGAATGAATTGAGCGAACGGCACTAATACGATACGAAGGAAGGAGATGAGAGCGAGTGAGCGAGGCCCTTTCTCTCGTGGGCAGCGTCGCGTACCATTGGGAAGCCCCCCGCGTTGCATGGCGTCGTGGCAGGGCGCGGCGATGAGGTCGTTGAGAAAGAGCGGGAACTCCCGACACGCGTCCACTGGCGGTCCCCTGTTGGCCGGCGAACACAGCACCCCCACCACCATGCCTGTCGAATGAGGAAACAGGGGGTTGGAGGGGAAGGGCGGTGGGGGAGGGGCGAGGAAAGAGTGGCGATGAGGCCGTTGAGAAAGAGAGGGAACTCCCGACACACGTCCACTGGCGTTCCCCTGTTGGCTGGTGAACACAGCACCCCCAACACCATGCCTGGCGCACACCAGGGGAAAGGGAGGGGAGGCGAGAGAATGTGGAAGGTTTTGAGGAAGAGAGGTAACTCTCGGCATGTGTACACCGGCGGTCCCATGTTGGCCGGTGAACACAACACTCCCACCACCATGCCTGTTGCACGAGTAGACGGAGAAGGGAGGAACGGAGGAGGGTCCCGGGAGGGACGGGGGAGCTATGGAGGAGGATGGCGGAGCAGAGAGGCAAGGGGAATGAAGGTTGGGTGCCTCGAGAGGGGCGAGGAGACGGAGACTGAACGCGTGGGTACAGGGGGCGAGTAAGGCAACGGGAAAGACGCGGAATGGAGTGGGAGTGGAGTGGAGTGGAGTGGAGTGGAGTGGAGTGGAGTGGAGTGGAGTGGAGTGGAGTGGAGTGGAGTGGAGTGGAGAAGGCCAATCCACAAGAAAAGAGCGTAAGCTCACAACAGCATTCACGCACGTGGCAAGATACCGTAGCACACACACTCCGCACCGCATCGATCAGCACCACATTGCACTCCGTACTGTACCGTGGTCAACGCGGTGCACGCTGGTAACCAGCACCTCGAGGTACTTGCGCCCCTGCTCGTCCTCCTCCGCGAATGCCACACTCGACCCGATCCACGCTGCCGCCGCATCATCCCCCTCCCCCCGCGCGCTCCTCCGCCCTTGTTGCTCCTCCGCCTCCGCTTCCGCTTTTTCCGCCTCATGCGCCGCGCTGCGCCTGTCGAAGGTTTCCGACTTCGCTCCCGCTGCTCCCGCTGCTCCTGCGGCGGCGGCCAGCTCTTGCGCGAGGCGATCCACGGCCTCTAGATCCTCCAGGCGCTCCGCATTGCCTCCGCCCGCGCCGCCTCGGTCCGCATTCTCTCGGTCTGCGCTAAGCCGCTCATCGGCATTGCTCCTGTCTTCGAAGCTTTCACCGCCGCCCTGCCCGCCCACCCGATTCGCAGCGGCTCCAGCGACGATCGCGGCGCGTCTGCGGCTCGATCGGCTGCGGTTTCTACAGTCCCTGCCGCCGCCGGCGCCGCCAGCGCTACCGAGGTGTTCCCTACAGAAGCGAATGCTGGAAACGCGAGGTGACGGCAAGTGCGCGCACGGGAGGGCCGCGGGTGGAGGAGGAGGGGCAGCGGGTGCGCATGGAGAGATAGTTACTATCCTACTTCCATTCACGGCCATGGCTCAGTAACGAGGACCCAACGGTAGTGGGCGGAGGTACCCAGCGGAACTTGCGGAAAGTGTTACTGCTGGCAGGGCCGCCTGATAGTATGGAGCAGAAACCCGCGCAACAGGGGTTACCAGCAGGCGGATGTGGGGGTTTACGTGAATCTGGCTTTAGAGGGGATGTAGACTTGCTCAGCCGCGGATGAATTGTCCGCGACTGTGTAGTTTCATAATGTGGAAATATGCGACATATCTCACCTAATATTTTGAAATTATATGAACTATTTAGTTTTGGAAACTGTACTGTGTAGGCTTTTGTGGATGAGGTGAACTTAGCGAAGCGCAAGCTCATGGTGTTACGATGGCTGTGTCCACACCACAATTCAAAGCCACGTAGGTAGTGACGTGTCGTGCTCTTTTTCCTGAATCTCCGCTCCCTGGAGGCGGCTTCATCATCAAAAGTAGTATTTTCACCCTGAAAGTTTATGTGCCCAGCGTTGCAGTGGATGTACCACGTCCGCACTCAATCAAGCTGACCTCCACTTGTGCTGAGTTGTGAATACCACCCTAACATTTCCAGCAGACAAACGTGCGCGAACTCTAATTCCACTGCTACTTTGCTAAGTGGTCTGATTAACAACAGTATGAATTACCACCATTTTCTGAAACACTCCCCCAATAAAGGAAAGCCCGTTGATGTTGGTTTGGGAACTGACCAGAGTTTGGCAAGCTTCAATGAACCTTCCCCAATGACGTCCCCTTCCCAGTGCACTGTACACGCGACTGAAGAGATCTCCCGAGATCATCCCTTGGGATCACCACCTCGAGATCATCCCTCCCTTTCCCCCGAGCTCTTCAATTCTCGAAGCTCCCTCAGGTTCGTCAATGGTCAAACACACTCGTAGTGTACACAATAACCTGACCAGCGCCAGCAGCAGTACCACCACCATTATTTTCGCTCGGTTTAGCTTGTACCTCACCACAGAAGCAACAGATATCCTATACACCGACCGAGAGCTTGCGCCCTCTAATTTTCGCGCACCGCGCTGTCCGGATCAATATTACGAGACACGTACTGAAGGTACGGAATGTGTCTTGAGAAATGTGATCGTTGCCAAGGTGCCTGTTTTTTCCTTTCTGCTTCCGCCGTTGGGAATGGTGCAAGCTTTTACGTGACAGTGACCGCTGCATTGCACACTGGCCGCTGCATTTCACATAGAACGCTAGAAAGTTCGTGCTGCATTGCTGTTCCGGCAGGAAAACTCGATCGTCCAGATACAGAGAAAGTGCCGCTTCAGCTCCCCGCTCCCGTGCACTTACGTGCGTTTGTACCCCTATCTCGCTCTACCTCCCCTCCCTCGGCGCCACTTCCCATTCCTCCCTTTACAGGGTGATCCAGCCGTCGATCGCTGACAGCTGCGGACAAAGGGCCAGGGACTGACATGTGGCATCTTGCCGGCTGATGCAGCAGAACCAACTGAGCTAACAGGATCAGCCTGTCCACCCGGATTCTAGTATCATTATCGTTATTTACCAATGAGTATCGTTATCTAGTACCGTTATCGTTTCCAGCCAGCATCTGCCGATTGTTGTCTTGCAACCGCCTTCCGGAACCTATTTGGGTTGCCTTTTTCTGCGTCGACACGCCTAGTCGCGTGCCTATCTAAGCTCTTCAGGAGAATGTCGTCTGTAACAAAGAGGCCTTCCATTCATGTCCCTCCGCTCCTCGCCTCGCCCTCTCCTGCTCCATCATCTACCTCCGCCGTTTCTGCCGTCGACACCGATCCGACGGCTCACAATCATCCTCCCACCTCCAGCGCCGACATTTCCGCGCCTCTCGCATGCGCGCGCGAGAGGGCGGGGGGGTTGGAAGAGCTTGCGGAGCGCGAAAACAAGACGGGGGCGCGGGAGCGGAGTGGGGAGGGGAGAGGCGGGGAAATGCGGAAAGGGGATGGGGAACCATGGGGGAACGAGGTAACGGAAACGATGGATGGGGTAGTTGCAGGATCTGTAGACGGAGCAGCCGCAGCACTCCCAACAGTCGAGGCGGTGGCAGTGGAGGCTCGGGGAGCAGCGAGCGGAGAGGGAGGCGGGCGGGAGCAGAGGTTGCAGGCGGGGAAGGGAGAGGGAGGCGGAAGAAGTGGCGCCATTTTCCTGGACGGGACTATGAGTGTCACGGATCTGCTGTGCGATGTCTCCTTCCAGGTATATGTGTGTCTGCTGTGCTCTCGTGTGTAGCATGCTATACAAATAGGCGCCTAAAAATTGCTCCCCCCGCTCAACCCTTTCCTCCCCCCACATCCCATGTCTCACATCCCACGTGCCACGTGTCACGTGCGCGGGGAGCAGGTATACGTGGGCGTGCACGTGCTGGCGCTGCTGACGCTGGTCTTCATCCCAGCCTCGCCTCGCCTGCTGCTGCTCGCCCTATTCTCCTACGCCCTGCGCATGCTCGGCATCACTGCTGGTTACCACCGCTTGCTCTCCCACAGGTCAGTCCGTCCGTCCGACCCAACCATACATCACGGATACCTGCTTTAGCACCGCTTTCCACCGCTGCTGCTGCCCCTCCTGCTGCTCCTTCCGTGGTGCTGTCACTCTAGTGAAATATCCTCCCTCGTTTTAACGTTCTCTCTCCCTCACTCACTCATTCCCCACCCACCTGCTCTCGCCCCCATCACTCTCTCCCCCTTGCCCGTCCTCTCAGGTCGTTCAAGACGTCGCGAGTGGGTCAGTTCCTGTTTGCTCTGCTGGGGTGCCTTTCCTTCCAGAAGGGGCCCCTCTGGTGGGCGTCACACCACCGCCACCACCACAGGTAACGCGACACACGCCACACACGCCACACTGGCGTGATTTTTTAGGCGCCTGAAAAATCGTCACAGGTAACGCGCCACATGCCTCACTGGTGTGCCACCACGGTTGGTTACCACCACTGCTTTCTCCAGCACTGCTTTCAGCAGAACAGGTATCACTGCCAGCATGAATAACGCGCTTAGCACGTGCACAGACAGGTCACAACTGGTGCACAAGCTTGAAGCCTTGGCGCGAAGAGTATAAGGACTCTATGCAGTCTGCACCCTTACACAACACACCGCGCCCCTGCCTCCCTGCCCCTCTGCGCCCCTGCCTCCCTGCCCCTCTGCGCCCCTGCCTCCCTGCCCCTCTGCGCCCCTGCCTCCCTGCCCCTCTGCGCCCCTGCCTCCCTGCCTCCCTGCCCCCCTGTCCCCCTGCCCCCCTGCCTCCCTGCCTCCCTGCCTCCCTGCCCCCCTGCCTCCCTTCCCCCCTGTCCCCCTGCCCCCTGCCCCTTTGCCTCCGTGCCCCCTGCCCCTTTGCCTCCGTGCCCCCACGTCAGGACCGCGGACACAGCAGAGGACGCGCACAGCCCGCTGCACTGGGGCTTCTTCTGGTCGCACATGGGCTGGTGAGCGAGCGCTGGGGAGGGAAGGCAGGGCGGGGAGAGATTATGGGCGCGGGGTGGCAGAGAAACCGGGTGGTTTGGAGAAGGGGGGTTGGTGGGGTGCTGGGGAGGTTGGAAGTGGGGGATTTGAGCCATCCAAAGAGCTTGACAATGTCTTTAGGGTGGGGAGGTTGGAGGTGGGGGTTGCTTTGCATTCGGGAAGATGAGGAGGAGGCAAGGGAGAGAGCATGTGTGGGATGGACTTGTGGAGATGCTACTTTTGGGTTGAACACGTAGTTTAGTACGGTCTGTATGGGTGCTTGGTCTAACTCGTTCGTTGCTCTCCTCTCCTCCCTCCTTTTGAAACTTTGCCCCTATGTGTGTGTGTGTGTGTGTGTGTGTGTGTGTGTGTGCGCGTGGGCTTGTGTTGAGTGTGTGTGAGAGTGTGTTTGTGTGAATGTGTATGAGGGTGTGCATGTGTGTGTGTGTGTGTCTGTGTGCGTGCTTGTGCGTGTGCATGTGTGTGTGTGTGTGTCTGTGTGCGTGCTTGTGCGTGTGCATGTGTGTGCGTGTGCATGTGTGTGTGTGTGTGTCTGTGTGCGTGCTTGTGCGTGTGCATGTGTGTGCGTGTGCATGTGTGTGTGCATGTGTGTGTGCATGCGTGGGGTCTGAGCATGGGTGAAACGTGTGCGTGCGTGCATTACACGAGCAGGTTTCTGTGCTCCACGCGCCACACTGCAGTGCTGTGGCATGCCATCCCGGACCTCTCGCCTTTCCCCGAGCTGCATTGGCTCGACTCGTACGACCCAGCCCCACCACACGCACATGCACACACATGCACGCACATGCACATCCACGCACATGCACATGCACGCACATGCACATGCACATGCACATGCACGCACATGCACATCCACGCACATGCACATGCACATGCACGCACAGGCACATGCACATGCACATGCACGCACATGCACATCCACGCACATGCACATGCACATGCACGCACATGCACATGCACATGCACGCACATGCACATGCACATGCACGCACATGCACACGCACATGCGCGCACACGCACATGCACACGCACATGCGCGCACACGCACATGCACACGCACATGCGCGCACACGCACATGCGCGCACACGCACATGCACACACATGCACACACACATGCACGCGCACATGCACGCGCACATGCACGCGCACACGCACGCACATGCACATGCACGCACACGCACATGCACGCACACGCACATGCACACACGCACGCTGCACGCACACATGCGCGCGTGCGCGCACACACACACACACACAGCCACACACACGCACGCATGCACGCAGACACACATCTGAACCTCTCGCTCCCCTTCTCCATCAACCCCAACTCCTCTCCAACCCCATCTCTTCTTATCCCCCCACACCCGCATAGGACAACATATTGCACACCAATTGTTCATCCATTCCTTGCATTTACCCCCTTAACCCTTCCCCTTCCCGCCCGTACACTCCATCTCCCCCATTCCTCATCCACTCCCCCTTTCCTTGAACCAGGTACCACTTTGTGCCACCTCTCTCCCTGGCGGTGCTTCTCTGGGCTACTGGAGGCATAGCTGCCTTCGGCTGGGGCTTCTGCGTGGCTACTGTTGTGTGCTGGCATTTCACGTATGTGTGCTGGCATTTCACGTATGTGTGCTGGCATTTCACGTATGTGTGCTGGCACTTCACGTATGTGTGCTGGCACTTCACGTATGTGTGCTGGCATTTCATGTATGTGTGCTGGCACTTCACGTATGTGTGCTGGCACTTCACGTATGTGTGCTGGCACTTCACGTATGTGTGCTGGCACTTCACGTATGTGTGCTGGCACTTCGCGTATGTGTGCTGGCACTTCACGTATGTGTGCTGGCACTTCACGTATGTGTGCTGGCATTTCACGTATGTGTGCTGGCACTTCACGTATGTGTGCTGGCATTTCACGTATGTGTGCTGGCACTTCACGTATGTGTGCTGGCACTTCACGTATGTGTGCTGGCACTTCACGTATGTGTGCAGGCATTTCACGTATGTGTGCTGGCACTTCACGTATGTGTGCTGGCACTTCACGTATGTGTGCTGGCATTTCACGTATGTGTGCTGGCACTTCACGTATGTGTGCTGGCACTTCACGTATGTGTGCTGGCACTTCACGTATGTGTGCTGGCACTTCACGTATGTGTGCTGGCATTTCACGTATGTGTGCTGGCACTTCACGTATGTGTGCTGGCATTTCACGTATGTGTGCTGGCACTTCACGTATGTGTGCTGGCACTTCACGTATGTGTGCTGGCACTTCACGTAAGTGTGCTGGCACTTCACGTATGTGTGCTGGCACTTCACGTATGTGTGCTGGCACTTCACGTATGTGTGCTGGCATTTCACGTATGTGTGCTGGCACTTCACGCATGTGTGCTGGCATTTCACGTATGTGTGCTGGCACTTCACGTATGTGTGCTGGCAGTCACGTTTGGGAACTTCCAATAGTGGCATTTGGTGCCTGTGTGTGCATGTGTGGTATAGCCATGTGTAACCCAACCAGCCATCTCTTCCCTCCTGTCCGAACCCACTCTACCCATCCACACCACACCCCAACAAAGCATATCCACCTCATAACCGATTCGCCCCCTCCTGCTACTGCTCCTGCTACTGCATCCTGCTCCTGCTACTGCATCCTGCTCCCGCTCTCCATGCCTCCAGCTACTGCATCAACTCGTTGGCTCATCTGGTGGGGTCGCGTCGCTTCCGCTGCGAGTTCAACACACACTGCGATGCGCGCAACAACCTTGGGCTCGCACTCGCCACTCTGGGCGAGGGCTGGCACAACAACCACCATGTGAGTGCGCGCTCTGCCTCGCCTTTTGTGCGGCCTTAGTAGAACAACCGTGCACTGGGACTTTGCTACTCTGGGCGAGGGCTGGCACAACAACCACCATGTGAGTGCGCGCTCTGCCTCGCCTTTTGTGCGGCCTTAGTAGAACAACCGTGCACTGGGACTTTGCTACTCTGGGCGAGGGCTGGCACAACAACCACCATGTGAGTGCGCGCTCTGCCTCGCCTTTTGTGCCGCCTTAGTAGAACAACCGTGCACTGGGACTTTGCTACTCTGGGCAAGGGCTGGCACAACAACCACCATGTGAGTGCGCGCTCTGCCTCGCCTTTTGTGCCGCCTTAGTAGAACAACCGTGCACTGGGACTTTGCTACTCTGGGCAAGGGCTGGCACAACAACCACCATGTGAGTGCGCGCTCTGCCTCGCCTTTTGTGCCGCCTCAGTAGAACAACCGTGCACTGGGACTTTGCTACTCTGGGCGAGGGCTGGCACAACAACCACCATGTGAGTGCATGCATGCCCTGTCCGTCTCCTATGTGCTGTTGTTGTTCGTTCAAACACTGCCGTCATATATGACGCCCAATGGACACGATCCATGTCATCGCGCTGCTGCTGCTCGCACACATGTGTGAATGTACTGTTCTTGCACTCATGAGTGTGGTGTGGTGGGGTATACTTTCAGCAAGCTGCTCGAGTCATCCGCACCGCTAATCCTTCGTCTCTGCCTTTGCTGTTCGTGCATGTGTGTGCATCTGCATGCGCGTGTGCGCATACGCGTTATCTGTGTGCATCTGCATGCGCGTGTGCGCATACGCGTTATCTGTGTGCATGTGCATACTCGGGTGTGTGTATGTGCATGTGCGCAGTGTTACATGAGGTCGGCCAAGCATGGTTTCTACCCGGAAGAGGTGTGTCCCTACAGCCCCTTTCCCCCGCTGCATAGATAGACGATTCATACATCCACTGAAAGACGTCCGACCTGCCTGCTCCATACCTCCCTTGCTTTCTTCTCATCTCAGATCTCCATCCCTGTAGCATAATATTTTCTCGGCCTCCCTGCTTGTCTCACTTATCCTTCCCCCGTGACTGCCTCGTCAGATTGACATCACATGGTATATCCTGTGCTGTCTGGAGCGACTAGGCCTTGTGTGGGATCTGCACCTACCGCCCCTGGATGAGGTACGAGCCATCACATCATGAGGCACATATGCAACGCAGTGTCGGTGTCAGTGTTAGTGTCAGTGCCAGTGCCAGTGTTAGTGCCAGTGTCAGTGCCAGTGTTATTGTCAGTGTTAGTGTCAGTGTTAGTGCCAGTGTCAGTGCCAGTGTTAGTGTCAGTGTCAGGGCATAGGGCACACATCGTTGGACCAGGGACGGGCTTTTTTTCTGCCATCTTCCCCTCCCTCTCTCCGTGCTTGTCTCCTTGCCCTCACCTCCCTCCCTTGCCCTCACCACCCTCCCTTGCCCTCACCACCCTCCCTTGGCCTCACCACCCTCCCTTGCCCTCACCACCCTCCCTTGCCCTCACCACCCTCCCTTGGCCTCACCACCCTCCCTTGGCCTCACCTCCCTCCCTCCTTGCCCTCAATGCCCCTTTTCAGCTGGAAGCGAGGTGGTTTGACAACCGGCACCTGCAGTGCCGCTGCCACAGCACTGAAAAAGACATGCGTGATACCATCGCTTCAAACACTCTCCTTCATTTCTCCATAATTTTCCCCTTGCCCTCAACAGCTGGAAGCGAGGTGGTTTGACGACCGGCACCTGCAGTGCCGCTGCAACAGCGCAGAGAAGGACATGCGTGAGACCATCGTTTCAAGCACTCTCCTGGCCGCGGATATGTGCGCGGGGACAGATGTGCTACTGGGTGGTGGTGCAGGTGCTCACGGCAAAAACACTGCAGATGGGCACAGCAGGCCGTGCAGTCATGTGGAGGAGGATCAAGGCCAATGGGATAATTTGAGGAGAGAAGATTTGAACTGGGACTGTGACGGCATCGACCACAGAAGCAACAGCAGCAGTGGTGGTGATAGTGGTGCCAGAGAGGGAGGGGATGATGCTGCTAGTCAGCTGCTTACTGCAGCAGCAGCAGCAGCAGCAGCAGCAGCAGCAGCAGCAGCAGCAGCAGCAGCAGCAGCAGCAGCAGCAGCAGCAGATGCCACAGCAACAGCCTCAAATAAGTGTGGCATGGCAACAGGGACAGCGGGTCAAGGTGAAAGGAGAGGGTTGGTGAGACGAGCAGTGTGAGTTGGGTGCATATAGGACTTCGCGATGTCAAGGCCTTGGTGCAAACGTAAATGATTGTTACTGGCCTGCGCACCCAACGCAACTGTTAAAGACAAGAAATGAGCGGTACCTACGGTCCTTCGTATGGCAAAATTTGTAGGTGGTGGCGGAACGGTAGTCATGTTCTTGGGATGTAAGGGCTCATATATGTCGTGTGTTACATGTACGGTACATGTGCAACAATTCTGCCATATGGTAGTATGTTGGTAAACAATATTTCCTGCCAGGTCAAACAAACGTGAAAGACAGCTCCATGGCATTGTGTTTCCCTGCCAGTGACCTGAACTTGATGCTGAGAAATTTTAGTGTACCTTGAACACGTTTGTTTGGAATGTTTGCCCTGCAGGCTTACTGCAGGAGTGTATAAAACTCCATCACAGAACCTACTTAGCACATTGACTGTGACTCGTACTAAACCTGGCTGTAACATGTAAGACCTCCTATTTTCTGAGATAAAGCACCACATCAGCTAATGCACCCGGTGTCTAATTTTGGGTGCTAAGCGGCTGCTGCTGTTGCTCTTCCTCTACTGGCTGTGGTTGCTTCTGCTGCGGTGGCTACTGCTGTTGCTGCTGCTGGGAAGAATTGACTCTTGTCCGTTTCGCTGAGGCGAACTCGGCTCTGTTATGCGCACAGAAAGTGCAAGGAAAACGGTTCGCGGGAAGAGGTGCAGGGGAAGAGGTGCAAGGGAGAAGGTGCAGGGGGGGAGGTGCAGGGGGGGAGGTGCAGGGGGGGAGGTGCAGGGGGGGATATTAGTAGGGATGAATGTAAGATGGATCCAAACAAGTGGCAAGGGGCAGAGGGTGCTGTGCCGTGCCGTGCCGTACCGTACAATTAGTGCAGAAACGAGGGGCTAGATGGAACAGTATGACTCGAGGTGACTTTTGAGTCGACTCAAAAGTCACTAGAGCAGAAATGAGGGGCTAGATGGAACAGTATGACCCGAAAATGAACGAGGAGACGCGAAACAAAACGAGGGTGGATAAAGAGACACAAACCCTGCGACAGAAATAAATGAACCCTGAGACAAAAGAACGGACAGAACAGGCTCACATGAATCACGTCAAGAGAAGGCCACAAAAGGACACAAGAGGACACAAGAGGAAAGGAACACGGAACGAACACGGAAGGAACACGGAACGAACACGGAAGGAACACGGGAAAAAGAGATACTGGAAGGCTTACCCGCACGTGGCACAGGTGCGTGCCGGGGAGCAGAAGATAGAAAGACACACGGAGCACACAAAGCCCATGTCCACTGGGCGCTTATGGCAGAAGCAACTGTGATGCCCAGGGAGAACGGGAAGGGGGGGGGAGAATGGAGGGGCTTTTAAGACGTCTCAAGAGACACACGGAGCACACAAAGCCCATGTCCACTGGTCGCTTATGGTAGAAGCAACTGCGATGCCCACAGGTGGCACACAGGTGGCACACAGGGGGAAGTGAATGGGGGGGTTGGAGGGGATGCGAGTGGTTGAGATGGCAGAGTTAGAAGGAGCACACAAAGCCCATGTCCACTGGGCGCTTATGGCAGAAGCAACTGTGATGCCCAGGGAGAACGGGAAGGGGGGACGGGGGGGGGGAATGGAGGGGCTTTTAAGACGTCTCAAGAGACACACGGAGCACACAGAGCCCGTGTCCACTGGTCGCTTACGGCAGAAACAGCTGCGATGCACATAGGGGGAAGGGAATGGGGGGGTTGGAGGGAATGTGGGTGGCTGGGACGGTTGAGTTAGCAGAACACAGGGCAAGTTGCGGATGGGATTGGGACGGAGAATGATGGGTTTTGCAACAGGGCGTGAGTGGGGAAGGGAGAAAGAATGCGGAATGGAAGAGGGGGAGCAGCACGGCATCAAATGGTAAAGCATGGCATGGCAGGCATGGCAGGGTGCATACGAGGCTCGGAAGTCCACGGCTGATGGCTGAGGCAATGTGATGAAGTCCCGAGAGAACTGATCCACTCCAAACACCAGCTGCCGCCCATGTGAGAGGGGCGGGATGGGAAGAGGTAGGAGAGAGAGAGATTGTGATGAAGTCCCAAGAGAACTGATCCACCCCAAACACTAGCTGCAGCAGATGGAGTGGGCGGGGAAGGCATGGGATGAGACAGGAGAAAACTTGTTCACAGCGCAAGCCAGCTATTTATGGCAGGCGGGGCATGGCATGGCATGACCAAGGTGTACGTGCACCTTTTGAGGAGCCTCAAAAGCGGGCGGGGCATGACGCAGGTGTACGTGCGTGCAGTGCACCTTCGAAGGTTTGATTCTGGGAGAGGAAGGATATGACGATACCAGGAGGTCTTGGAGAAGGGCGTTGGGGCGCGAGGAGTGCAGATAGAGGCCTCCTGTGAGGAATGCCGCCTGTGGGCGGACAGTGGGGGGGGGGGGGGTTAGGGGGGCCTGAGGAAGGAAGGTGATATGGGGAGCGTGAGGATTTTCCAGTCGAATACAAAAGAGGCGAGTTTTTTTATTCGACTCAAAGCTTGCGGAGTGGAGTGCAGTGCAGATAGAGCAGCCCTCCTGTGAGGAGCACCGCCTGTGAGCGGACAGGGGGGCCAGGGGAAGGAAGGGAGTGATATCGGGAGTGCGAGGATTTTTCAGTCGAATCAAATTGAGGCGAGTTTTTGAGTTGACTCAAAGCGCGTGGAGTGGAGTGGAGAGGAGTGCAGATAGAGATGCCTCCTGTGAGGAAGGGCGCCTGTGGGCGGGCATGGTGGGGCAAGGGGGAGAAGTGAAGGGAGTGAAATGGGGAGGGCGAGTGAGGGCGTGAGAGAGAGAGCTGTGGTGAGGTGAGCCCGCTGCCATGCCACAATGTATGTGACGAACTGCCATGTGATGCCATGTGATGCCATGTGATGCCATGTGATGCCATGTGATGCCATGTGATGCCATGTGATGCCATGTGATGCCATGTGATGCCATGTGATGCCATGTGATGCCATGTGATGCCATGTGATGCCATGTGATGCCATGTGATGCCATGTGATGCCATGTGATGCCATGTGATGCCATGTGATGCCATGTGATGCCATGTGATGCCATGTGATGCCATGTGATGCCATGTGATGCCATGTGATGCCATGTGATGCCATGTGATGCCATGTGATGCCATGTGATGCCATGTGATGCCATGTGATGCCATGTGATGCCATGCTGATGCCATGTGATGCCACGTGGGTGATGCCATGTGGATTGCCATGTGATGCCATGTGATGCCATGTGATGCCATGTGATGCCATGATGATGCCATGTATGCCATTTGATGCCATGTGATGCCATGTGATGGCAATGTGATGCCCATATGTGATGCCATGTGATGCCATGTGATGCCGATGGTGAATGCCTGGATGCATGTGATGCCATGTGATGCCATGGTGATGCCATGTGATGCCCATGTGATGCCATGTGATGCCATGTGAGCCATTGATCCATGTGATGCCATGTGATGCCATGTGATGCCTGGATGCCGTGATGCCATGTGATGCCATGTGATGCCATGTGATGCCATGTGATGCCATGTGATGCCATGTGATGCCATGTGATGCCATGTGATGCCATGTGATGCCATGTGATGCCATGTGATGCCATGTGATGCCATGTGATGCCATGTGATGCCATGTGATGCCATGTGAAGCCATGTGATGCCATGTGATGCCATGTGATGCCATGTGATGCCATGTGATGCCATGTGATGCCATGTGATGCCATGTAATGCCATGTGATGCCATGTAATGCCATGTGATGCAGCAATGCCCGCCCACCTGCTGCAGAAAGGCAGAGTCCGCCTCCCCAATGGCACATGCATCTATAGGCACCTGCGGTGGACACATGCACACACATGCACACACATGCACGCACAAACAGACATGCACGCACATGCACGCACATGCACGCACAAACAGACATGGGAGGGGCGAACGGGAGCGCACATGAGTGCAGTGACAAGGAGAGGTGCCTCTCCAATGCCAACGCACAATGGGGTCAATGAAAGCAACCAGACCCATGCCTATGCTAGCGCCATGCCAATGCCAACGCGCAGTCTCATCCTCATACCCATGTCCATGCCCATGCCCATGCTCATGCCCATGCCCATGCCCAAGCCCATGCCCATGCCCATGCCCATGCGCATGCCCATCCCCAACCACATCCCATGCCCATGCCCATCCCCATGCCTATCCATGACCACGCCCATGACCATGACCATGACCATGACCATGACCATGACCATGACCATGCCGTGCTGACTAGGAGCAACGAGCTGCTTACTGCTGCTTTCTGCGAGGAGAAAATGGCGTTCATTATTGCGACGTACCTGGCGGAATGGGCAGGGGGAGCGAAAGGAGGGGAAACAATGGGGGAGGGTAGGGAATGGGGAAGGAAAGTGGCGAAGGGAAGAGGAGGGAAAGAAACCAGAGGTGCTTGTGAGACATCGTAACAGTGGAGCAGGTAATGTAAACATCAAACATATATCCGGCCGGCCTTTTGTGTATCTCTTGGTGTTGTGAGGCAAGTGAGAAGCCCACATGTGATGCGTCAATTTCTGAGTCGACTAAAAAATCGACTTGGTGTTGTGAGGCAAGTGAGAAGCCCACAGTCTATGTGGTGTTCCAAGTCAAAACATGACTTGGAACATGTAAGCATGTAAGCAGAGAGCAGATGCACAAGGGTAGATGTGTGGATGGATGAGTGAGTTCAAGCACACGTAACTGTTGGGCAGCGTCTGGTGAGCCATGGATGCAGAGTATCTGAGAAGAACACACATACATGCATGTATGCATACACACATGCATGCATGTATATGTGCATGCATCCATGCATACACACATGCACACATGGATGCAGACGCGCATGCAGAAACCAATGCATGCACATACATGCCAACACCCATGCATAGAGAGACATGCAGATAAATGGATATCAGGGCATGGATCTAAATGCATCATGATAAGATACACACATTCACACTCACGGTCACACTCACAGTCACACTCACACACTCATACGCACACACACTCATACGCACACATACTCACATGCATACCCACAAACGACCTCATCCAAGCACGCACAAGAGCACATGCACGCGCATTCGCTCCCGCCTCCCACACACACACACACACACACACACACACACACACACACACACACACACACACACACACATGCATAGCATAGGACAGTTGTGTGTGTCTTTTTTTGAATCAACTCAAAAACAGCGCACAAGACGGTTCTGTGTTCGCACAGACAGACGCACTATCATGAGGACGGAGGGAGATGATGTGGACACGTGCACATGCTCAGTGCATGTCAAACACATGGCGACATGAGAGAGGGATGGATGGATGCATTCACAGCGAAAGGTGGACGAGAAAACACAATAGTAACCGAGTAACCAAAAAACGAAAGAGATACACCGACTCAAAAACATGTGCCCTGAAGGATTTGCCACCACCTGTTTTTTGACCGACTCAGAAGTCGCATGTAGTGCTGTGGTATCCATGCCAATGCATGCTGTCCCATGTTGTCATGCCATGCAATTTCATGCCATCCCAAGCATCCCATGCCATGCCATACCATCACATGGCATCCCATCCCATGCCATGCCATGCCATCCCATGGCCTACTCGTGGTCTTGGAGCTGACATGCCCTTGCTGCTGGCCTTCACACAGTCTGGGGAACGGAGAGTGGTGGAGAGAGATTAATGGAGGTTGGGTGAGGCGTGTTCTATGTGGGCTCGAGGGCACCGAGAGGGACAGAGGGAGCTTGGGCTGGGCGAGGGTCACAGAGGCAGCAACACTTACATGCCAGTGCTGTTTTTGTGGCGCCTCCAAAACAAATCATCAAAAGAGGGACAGAGGGAGGCTGGGCAGGGTGAGGGGTGATAGATTCAGCAACACTCACATGCCTGCGCCATTGACAATGACCCTGACAGCAGAGACGCTTGCTTTGAGGCACCTCAAAACTAGAGAGACAAAGGGAGGCTGGGCAGGGTGAGGGGGGCAAAGCAGATGCAGCAACACTCACATGCCAGTGCCATTGACAATGACCCTGACAGCAGAGACGCTTGCTTTGAGGCACCTCAAAACTAGAGAGACAAAGGGAGGCTGGGCAGGGTGAGGGGGGCAAAGCAGATGCAGCAACACTCACATGCCAGTGCCATTGACAATGACCCTGACAGCAGAGACGCTTGCTTTGAGGCACCTCAAAACTAGAGAGACAAAGGGAGGCTGGGCAGGGTGAGGGGGGCAAAGCAGATGCAGCAACACTCACATGCCAGTGCCATTGACAATGACCCTGACAGCAGCGACGCTTGCTTTGAGGCACCTCAAAACTAGAGAGACAAAGGGAGGCTGGGCAGGGTGAGGGGGGCAAAGCAGATGCAGCAACACTCACATGCCAGTGCCATTGACAATGACCCTGACAGCAGAGACGCTTGCTTTGAGGCACCTCAAAACTAGAGAGACAAAGGGAGGCTGGGCAGGGTGAGGGGGGCAAAGCAGATGCAGCAACACTCACATGCCAGTGCCATTGACAATGACCCTGACAGCAGAGACGCTTGCTTTGAGGCACCTCAAAACTAGAGAGACAAAGGGAGGCTGGGCAGGGTGAGGAGGGCAAAGCAGATGCAGCAACACTCACATGCCAGTGCCATTGACAATGACCCTGACAGCAGAGACGCTTGCTTTGAGGCACCTCAAAACTAGAGAGACAAAGGGAGGCTGGGCAGGGTGAGGGGGGCAAAGCAGATGCAGCAACACTCACATGCCAGTGCCATTGACAATGACCCTGACAGCAGAGACGCTTGCTTTGAGGCACCTCAAAACTAGAGAGACAAAGGGAGGCTGGGCAGGGTGAGGGGGGCAAAGCAGATGCAGCAACACTCACATGCCAGTGCCATTGACAATGACCCTGACAGCAGCGACGCTTGCTTTGAGGCACCTCAAAACTAGAGAGACAAAGGGAGGCTGGGCAGGGTGAGGGGGGCAAAGCAGATGCAGCAACACTCACATGCCAGTGCCATTGACAATGACCCTGACAGCAGAGACGCTTGCTTTGAGGCACCTCAAAACTAGAGAGACAAAGGGAGGCTGGGCAGGGTGAGGGGGGCAAAGCAGATGCAGCAACACTCACATGCCAGTGCCATTGACAATGACCCTGACAGCAGAGACGCTTGCTTTGAGGCACCTCAAAACTAGAGAGACAAAGGGAGGCTGGGCAGGGTGAGGGGGGCAAAGCAGATGCAGCAACACTCACATGCCAGTGCCATTGACAATGACCCTGACAGCAGCGACGCTTGCTTTGAGGCACCTCAAAACTAGAGAGACAAAGGGAGGCTGGGCAGGGTGAGGGGGGCAAAGCAGATGCAGCAACACTCACATGCCAGTGCCATTGACAATGACCCTGACAGCAGAGACGCTTGCTTTGAGGCACCTCAAAACTAGAGAGACAAAGGGAGGCTGGGCAGGGTGAGGGGGGCAAAGCAGATGCAGCAACACTCACATGCCAGTGCCATTGACAATGACCCTGACAGCAGAGACGCTTGCTTTGAGGCACCTCAAAACTAGAGAGACAAAGGGAGGCTGGGCAGGGTGAGGGGGGCAAAGCAGATGCAGCAACACTCACATGCCAGTGCCATTGACAATGACCCTGACAGCAGAGACGCTTGCTTTGAGGCACCTCAAAACTAGAGAGACAAAGGGAGGCTGGGCAGGGTGAGGGGGGCAAAGCAGATGCAGCAACACTCACATGCCAGTGCCATTGACAATGACCCTGACAGCAGAGACGCTTGCTTTGAGGCACCTCAAAACTAGAGAGACAAAGGGAGGCTGGGCAGGGTGAGGGGGGCAAAGCAGATGCAGCAACACTCACATGCCAGTGCCATTGACAATGACCCTGACAGCAGAGACGCTTGCTTTGAGGCACCTCAAAACTAGAGAGACAAAGGGAGGCTGGGCAGGGTGAGGGGGGCAAAGCAGATGCAGCAACACTCACATGCCAGTGCCATTGACAATGACCCTGACAGCAGAGACGCTTGCTTTGAGGCACCTCAAAACTAGAGAGACAAAGGGAGGCTGGGCAGGGTGAGGGGGGCAAAGCAGATGCAGCAACACTCACATGCCAGTGCCATTGACAATGACCCTGACAGCAGCGACGCTTGCTTTGAGGCACCTCAAAACTAGAGAGACAAAGGGAGGCTGGGCAGGGTGAGGGGGGCAAAGCAGATGCAGCAACACTCACATGCCAGTGCCATTGACAATGACCCTGACAGCAGAGACGCTTGCTTTGAGGCACCTCAAAACTAGAGAGACAAAGGGAGGCTGGGCAGGGTGAGGGGGGCAAAGCAGATGCAGCAACACTCACATGCCAGTGCCATTGACAATGACCCTGACAGCAGAGACGCTTGCTTTGAGGCACCTCAAAACTAGAGAGACAAAGGGAGGCTGGGCAGGGTGAGGAGGGCAAAGCAGATGCAGCAACACTCACATGCCAGTGCCATTGACAATGACCCTGACAGCAGAGACGCTTGCTTTGAGGCACCTCAAAACTAGAGAGACAAAGGGAGGCTGGGCAGGGTGAGGGGGGCAAAGCAGATGCAGCAACACTCACATGCCAGTGCCATTGACAATGACCCTGACAGCAGAGACGCTTGCTTTGAGGCACCTCAAAACTAGAGAGACAAAGGGAGGCTGGGCAGGGTGAGGGGGGCAAAGCAGATGCAGCAACACTCACATGCCAGTGCCATTGACAATGACCCTGACAGCAGAGACGCTTGCTTTGAGGCACCTCAAAACTAGAGAGACAAAGGGAGGCTGGGCAGGGTGAGGGGGGCAAAGCAGATGCAGCAACACTCACATGCCAGTGCCATTGACAATGACCCTGACAGCAGCGACGCTTGCTTTGAGGCACCTCAAAACTAGAGAGACAAAGGGAGGCTGGGCAGGGTGAGGGGGGCAAAGCAGATGCAGCAACACTCACATGCCAGTGCCATTGACAATGACCCTGACAGCAGAGACGCTTGCTTTGAGGCACCTCAAAACTAGAGAGACAAAGGGAGGCTGGGCAGGGTGAGGGGGGCAAAGCAGATGCAGCAACACTCACATGCCAGTGCCATTGACAATGACCCTGACAGCAGAGACGCTTGCTTTGAGGCACCTCAAAACTAGAGAGACAAAGGGAGGCTGGGCAGGGTGAGGAGGGCAAAGCAGATGCAGCAACACTCACATGCCAGTGCCATTGACAATGACCCTGACAGCAGAGACGCTTGCTTTGAGGCACCTCAAAACTAGAGAGACAAAGGGAGGCTGGGCAGGGTGAGGGGGGCAAAGCAGATGCAGCAACACTCACATGCCAGTGCCATTGACAATGACCCTGACAGCAGCGACGCTTGCTTTGAGGCACCTCAAAACTAGAGAGACAAAGGGAGGCTGGGCAGGGTGAGGGGGGCAAAGCAGATGCAGCAACACTCACATGCCAGTGCCATTGACAATGACCCTGACAGCAGAGACGCTTGCTTTGAGGCACCTCAAAACTAGAGAGACAAAGGGAGGCTGGGCAGGGTGAGGGGGGCAAAGCAGATGCAGCAACACTCACATGCCAGTGCCATTGACAATGACCCTGACAGCAGAGACGCTTGCTTTGAGGCACCTCAAAACTAGAGAGACAAAGGGAGGCTGGGCAGGGTGAGGGGGGCAAAGCAGATGCAGCAACACTCACATGCCAGTGCCATTGACAATGACCCTGACAGCAGCGACGCTTGCTTTGAGGCACCTCAAAACTAGAGAGACAAAGGGAGGCTGGGCAGGGTGAGGGGGGCAAAGCAGATGCAGCAACACTCACATGCCAGTGCCATTGACAATGACCCTGACAGCAGAGACGCTTGCTTTGAGGCACCTCAAAACTAGAGAGACAAAGGGAGGCTGGGCAGGGTGAGGAGGGCAAAGCAGATGCAGCAACACTCACATGCCAGTGCCATTGACAATGACCCTGACAGCAGAGACGCTTGCTTTGAGGCACCTCAAAACCAGAGAGACAAAGGGAGGCTGGGCAGGGTGAGGGGGGCAAAGCAGATGCAGCAACACTCACATGCCAGTGCCATTGACAATGACCCTGACAGCAGAGACGCTTGCTTTGAGGCACCTCAAAACTAGAGAGACAAAGGGAGGCTGGGCAGGGTGAGGGGGGCAAAGCAGATGCAGCAACACTCACATGCCAGTGCCATTGACAATGACCCTGACAGCAGCGACGCTTGCTTTGAGGCACCTCAAAACTAGAGAGACAAAGGGAGGCTGGGCAGGGTGAGGGGGGCAAAGCAGATGCAGCAACACTCACATGCCAGTGCCATTGACAATGACCCTGACAGCAGAGACGCTTGCTTTGAGGCACCTCAAAACTAGAGAGACAAAGGGAGGCTGGGCAGGGTGAGGGGGGCAAAGCAGATGCAGCAACACTCACATGCCAGTGCCATTGACAATGACCCTGACAGCAGAGACGCTTGCTTTGAGGCACCTCAAAACTAGAGAGACAAAGGGAGGCTGGGCAGGGTGAGGGGGGCAAAGCAGATGCAGCAACACTCACATGCCAGTGCCATTGACAATGACCCTGACAGCAGCGACGCTTGCTTTGAGGCACCTCAAAACTAGAGAGACAAAGGGAGGCTGGGCAGGGTGAGGGGGGCAAAGCAGATGCAGCAACACTCACATGCCAGTGCCATTGACAATGACCCTGACAGCAGAGACGCTTGCTTTGAGGCACCTCAAAACTAGAGAGACAAAGGGAGGCTGGGCAGGGTGAGGGGGGCAAAGCAGATGCAGCAACACTCACATGCCAGTGCCATTGACAATGACCCTGACAGCAGAGACGCTTGCGTTGAGGCACCTCAAAACTAGAGAGACAAAGGGAGGCTGGGCAGGGTGAGGGGGGCAAAGCAGATGCAGCAACACTCACATGCCAGTGCCATTGACAATGACCCTGACAGCAGAGACGCTTGCTTTGAGGCACCTCAAAACTAGAGAGACAAAGGGAGGCTGGGCAGGGTGAGGGGGGCAAAGCAGATGCAGCAACACTCACATGCCAGTGCCATTGACAATGACCCTGACAGCAGAGACGCTTGCTTTGAGGCACCTCAAAACTAGAGAGACAAAGGGAGGCTGGGCAGGGTGAGGGGGGCAAAGCAGATGCAGCAACACTCACATGCCAGTGCCATTGACAATGACCCTGACAGCAGAGACGCTTGCTTTGAGGCACCTCAAAACTAGAGAGACAAAGGGAGGCTGGGCAGGGTGAGGGGGGCAAAGCAGATGCAGCAACACTCACATGCCAGTGCCATTGACAATGACCCTGACAGCAGAGACGCTTGCTTTGAGGCACCTCAAAACTAGAGAGACAAAGGGAGGCTGGGCAGGGTGAGGGGGGCAAAGCAGATGCAGCAACACTCACATGCCAGTGCCATTGACAATGACCCTGACAGCAGAGACGCTTGCTTTGAGGCACCTCAAAACTAGAGAGACAAAGGGAGGCTGGGCAGGGTGAGGGGGGCAAAGCAGATGCAGCAACACTCACATGCCAGTGCCATTGACAATGACCCTGACAGCAGAGACGCTTGCTTTGAGGCACCTCAAAACTAGAGAGACAAAGGGAGGCTGGGCAGGGTGAGGGGGGCAAAGCAGATGCAGCAACACTCACATGCCAGTGCCATTGACAATGACCCTGACAGCAGCGACGCTTGCTTTGAGGCACCTCAAAACTAGAGAGACAAAGGGAGGCTGGGCAGGGTGAGGGGGGCAAAGCAGATGCAGCAACACTCACATGCCAGTGCCATTGACAATGACCCTGACAGCAGAGACGCTTGCTTTGAGGCACCTCAAAACTAGAGAGACAAAGGGAGGCTGGGCAGGGTGAGGGGGGCAAAGCAGATGCAGCAACACTCACATGCCAGTGCCATTGACAATGACCCTGACAGCAGAGACGCTTGCTTTGAGGCACCTCAAAACTAGAGAGACAAAGGGAGGCTGGGCAGGGTGAGGGGGGCAAAGCAGATGCAGCAACACTCACATGCCAGTGCCATTGACAATGACCCTGACAGCAGCGACGCTTGCTTTGAGGCACCTCAAAACTAGAGAGACAAAGGGAGGCTGGGCAGGGTGAGGGGGGCAAAGCAGATGCAGCAACACTCACATGCCAGTGCCATTGACAATGACCCTGACAGCAGAGACGCTTGCTTTGAGGCACCTCAAAACTAGAGAGACAAAGGGAGGCTGGGCAGGGTGAGGAGGGCAAAGCAGATGCAGCAACACTCACATGCCAGTGCCATTGACAATGACCCTGACAGCAGAGACGCTTGCTTTGAGGCACCTCAAAACTAGAGAGACAAAGGGAGGCTGGGCAGGGTGAGGGGGGCAAAGCAGATGCAGCAACACTCACATGCCAGTGCCATTGACAATGACCCTGACAGCAGAGACGCTTGCTTTGAGGCACCTCAAAACTAGAGAGACAAAGGGAGGCTGGGCAGGGTGAGGGGGGCAAAGCAGATGCAGCAACACTCACATGCCAGTGCCATTGACAATGACCCTGACAGCAGCGACGCTTGCTTTGAGGCACCTCAAAACTAGAGAGACAAAGGGAGGCTGGGCAGGGTGAGGGGGGCAAAGCAGATGCAGCAACACTCACATGCCAGTGCCATTGACAATGACCCTGACAGCAGAGACGCTTGCTTTGAGGCACCTCAAAACTAGAGAGACAAAGGGAGGCTGGGCAGGGTGAGGAGGGCAAAGCAGATGCAGCAACACTCACATGCCAGTGCCATTGACAATGACCCTGACAGCAGAGACGCTTGCTTTGAGGCACCTCAAAACTAGAGAGACAAAGGGAGGCTGGGCAGGGTGAGGAGGGCAAAGCAGATGCAGCAACACTCACATGCCAGTGCCATTGACAATGACCCTGACAGCAGAGACGCTTGCTTTGAGGCACCTCAAAACTAGAGAGACAAAGGGAGGCTGGGCAGGGTGAGGGGGGCAAAGCAGATGCAGCAACACTCACATGCCAGTGCCATTGACAATGACCCTGACAGCAGAGACGCTTGATCCCCCACTAATCCCTTCCCCCCACTCTCTCCACCCTCTCTTCCCCCACTCACTCCCCCCTCTTGGCTCCCCTCCCTGTCCCTCATCTCCCTATCCATCGCCCCATTCCCCTCCACTCCCTCCATTCTCTCCGTGCCCCCATCCCCATCCTCTCTCCCTGCACTCTCCCCCCCTTCCGCTGTCCCTGCTGCTGCCTCTCGCTTTGCCCGCTCGTTCTCTGCTGTTGCGAAGCTGAGCAGTTGTGAAACGGCTGCCTCGGCAGGAGATGAGGGAGATGAAAGCGAGGAGGAGGAGGAGGAGGAGGAAGCGGCGGAGGTATCAGAAGCAGGAGGATGCACAAATGCACTGGTGGAGTGGTTCGAGTGTAACGGCATAGGGGCATGGGCGCAGGGGCATATGAGAGTCAGCACGGGAATGTGAAGGTGGGAGGATGAGCAAAACGTGAAACGGAGTGAGGAGAGGGAGAGAGAGAGATAAAGCGTGCTTGGAATAGGAGGGGGCGGTTAGGTGGGTGGCCTTGGAGCACAATAGGAGCGAAGTGGTTGCTTCAAAAGGTGGAGTATAATTCAGCCAAAAAAAGGAAAGGGTTTAGGGAAAGCAACCGGTAGGAAGGGAAAGGGGTCACATTAAGGATGGCGGAGTGGGAAGGTGGGGGGGGGGGGAGAGTGATGCCATTCCAAGCCCATTCCACTCCATGGCTCTAACCCGCAGCTTGAGCACAAATTCAGTGCAGTAGACATGCAATGCCGTTGTACCCTGGCTGGACATGGCAGCACATGGCAGGCAGGCAGGCAGGCAGGCAGGCAAGGGCAGCAGGGAGACGGACCAGCAGGAGTGGCCAGTGGCAATGACAGCAGCCCTGTTGGCGCTGTGCAGCAGCAGATACGCGTTCAGGAACACACGCAGCTGCGCATGGGGTGGAGAGCCGGGGCGGGGGTGGGGGGGAGGCGAGAAAAGCGAGTGGATGGGAGAGAGGAGGGAGGGAAACGGGATGTGAGGTGACAAAAGGGTGGGTGAGGTGAAGTTGGGTTAAGAAATGGAGAGTGCATGGGGGGTTGAATGGTAACAGGTGGGTTGGTTTGATTGAATCAGAATACGCCACAGGCACGCAGAGACGGCTCTGCGCAGCGGGTTGGTTAGGTTTGAACTCTGATTGAATCAGAACACCCCCCCGAGGAGAGTGGGTGAAGGAACGGGGTGTACTATAGAACAACAGGTGCAAAGGCGGGGAGGAACGTTTGAGTGGACCAAAAAAAAGAAGAGTGGGTGACGGCACAGGGTGTATTATGGACAACAAGCGGAACAGCGGGGAGGGGCGTGGGAACTTGGTGGAACACAGGAGCGAACCCAAATGAGTGAGAAGGTGACTTTTTGAGTCGACTCAAAAGTCAACTTGGTGGAAGACAGGAGCGAATCCAAATGAGTAAGAATGACTTCAGAGCGAAAGCTGCTGACAAGGAGAAGGAGAGAAGGGGACAACAGAGGGGGAGAGAGGATTGAAAACGGCGGAGAGGGGCAGAGAGGGGCATAGAGGGCGAGTGGAGAGCGTACCTGCGAGAGAAAGTCATGGAAGGTGGGGAGGGAGGGCGGGCGCAGCGCCCAGAAGAAGGGATTGACGTCCACCACGAGCACCAGCAGACTCAGATCCTCTGACGGGATGGGATCGCACGCATAAGGGAATGAGCGGGGTGGTAATGAGGTTTTGAGACTTCTTGAAACGCAGCGCCCAGTAGAAGGAATTGACGTCCACCACGAGCACCAGCAGACTCAGATCCTCTGACGGGATTCCGTGCATGCGGGAACGGGCAGGTGAAATTCAGGCAGGAGTGGAAAGGGCAGACCGGGTACGACACAAAAGTGGGTCATTGGGGGAATGGGAGAAGGGATTAGAAGTGGGGTTTTGCTCGGAGGTGGCGAGTGGATTGAATTTAGTCAAGCTGCACATTTAAAAGCTTGCGACGGCGAGCGGATTATGAAAGATGACGACGGATCGGGATACCGCAGCTAGAAACGACACCACTGCTTTGTTCGACGCGGTATAAGGCAGTACAGTCTCGGGGGAGAAGCTGGGAAGAGATAACGATTCGAGGACGCCCTAAAACACGCGCACGCGACTCGCAAGGGGGCAGACTAACATGACGAGCGCACACGTAAGGCCAGCCTTCTGCGCTACCTGAGACGAGCGGCATGGCAGAAGGAGCGGATCCCCAACCTTCCTCCCCGAGCCCGGCCCCTTCGAGAATTCAAGAGGCCGGCGAGGGAGGATAAGCACGGGTCAAGCGTTCATCTTTTGCGGAAGACGATTCGCGGAAACTTGTAGTAGCGGTTGGTCGGGTATGGGTCTTGGTCGACGCGTTTCGCTGCGACCGACGATTTTTCTTTGCCTGCTGGTCAGTCATACCTGCCAGATTGATCAGATGTATTTATACCCCGCTCCATGTGCTGTTCTGTGCCGGTTGCCTTCCGAGGGCGTGTCCAACCAAACCATATTTTGTTGGGTGCCTGAGGAAGTGTAGGCCAAAGAGGCTCTAAACTCCCACTTTTTTGTTGCTAGGTATTTTCAAATTGTTTTTCCTGATGGGACAACAGACGAGAAATATGTAAGACCTCATCCAAATGGGGTTCCTACTCCGAACAGAACAATTGGAGTGCGATTGGGTAGGTTACAGCTGGTTTGAACACGCATCCACGCTAGTCTTGATTTTCGGGACCTTTAGACAGCAACCCTGTAAAATATAAGTACATTGTAATTGAAGAGCTGCCTCGAAGAAAACATGACTGGAGGCAGTAGGGGGTTGATCATTTGAGCGTCAGTGATCACTGGGTGTGGGTCGGGGGAAGGGATCAACCTTTGCAATGTTCGCAGAAGTATCCTCCTTTCTATTCAAATATGACGCTCATATGACTCAGATTGACATCATTTTAGTAAGTTTTGTTGGAGTGTGGTGTGAAGGGTGGGTGTGTCTCAGTGTGGGGAGAGGCATGGGAGGCGAGAGTTTAGTCGCGAGGCAGGTTGATTGACCCGTCTCTGGGTGCACCTGAAATGAGATTCGAAACAAGGAACGAGCCCAAACCAGAAACTCTTTCGTCTCGCCTAGCCACCCCACCACCAACCATCACAAAGTACACTGTTCATGCCTCACATGAAAGAGGTTTTTGGTACGATACAGTACGGCACGTTTGATCATGAATAGCATGTACCATATGGTACAGTAGTTCGTCTATTTGCCACATCCATGGGTCTGGAATGGTATGTGTGTGAATCCTTCCCATCCCACTTACTTCCTTTTGAAACTACTATAACCGACTTGTAATCCACCCACTACCGCCACCACCATTATCGCTGCCCTTGCCACTCCCACTTCCATGACCTTGTCTGCATTGCTGGGAGAATGCTGAGCTTGTCTCGAGTTGTTTCTTACACCACCTAGCAACTCGGCTTTCATCGTAAGCTAGTATTACCAACTACCACCTTCCACGCTCAGCTTTTCGTTGCTCTACGTGTCGTCGCGTTGAGGGGTCTGCCTTCTTGAACCCAATGCGCGCGCAGCCAGCAGCTGCATCGCGCGCACGCTATCTATTGCACCACACCGCACACCGCATCATAGACATGACATGATCCACCGCATCGCATCCCTTCGATCGATCTCGTGTTTCTGTCTGCCAGCATCTATTGGCTCCCACCGTCGCGTTTCGCGACACGTCATTACCCGCTCCCTCTGCGCCATTCTCATCCCTCCGAGAGCCGCAACTTTCCTGTCATCCCGCTCTCTCACGCATTTCTGATCCCTGTCGCGTGTGTTTCCATTCCCACCCTCCGTACCGCCACCTGATTTTTCCTAACGTCCGAACACCTTGCAATCACTGCCAAAGCCACCGAGCATGATTACTGAGTTGTCACCTTACAGAGTCTCAAAGATCCCCTTTCGTGCACCGTGATTCGCCAACAAGGCGGCGAGCACTTCCAACCACTTTCAGCGCAATGCAGTCCGTCGGTTCGCTTAACGAGCGTACACGCTATTAGCCACGAGGAGTGAGAATGACTTGTTGGTGCTAATGGCGTACCCGCTATTAGCACCCGTCGCACTGTAACCGGCATACTCGCAAAAAACGGGACAGCTTCGTCGTCTTTTGAGGCGCCTAAAAAAAAGCATGTCTGCATAGAAACGGGGCTGCTTTAGCGTGGATTGCACGCAGCCATGCGAACTCCCCTCGGGAAAAGGCTTTCCAGCAACAGCGGAAGTGATGACAGCAGCAATGACTGGAACAGCTACTGCAGCAGCAGAAGCAGAAACGAGGATTGCAGCATCAACAGCAACTGAGGCGAGGAGGGGAGGACAGCGGAGGCACCGCACTGTCAACACCCGACACTACTACCTCTCAACCACCTCTCAAGCGCAACTGCTCCTTCCCCATGGGACAACCCTCTCCTGATCTCATCCCGCTCTCCCTCTCCTCCTCCGTTTCGAACACAGCCGTGCCCGTGTCAACGTCTCCGCCCGTTTCATCTGCCCCGCCCGTGTCATCTGCTCCGCCCGTTTCATCTTTCCCGCCGATGATGGAGCCCGTTCCGCCGGCCCCTGCGCTCACATTCCCCCCGCCCAGCTCCAGCGTGGCGCAGGAGCGAATGGCCGCCGTGATTTGCGGGCAGAGCCACCACTACCACCACCACCACCACCTCCGCTCGTGGTCGCTCGCGTCGCACGAGGCATCCCCGAGTGACCGGGGAAGGAGCGGAGGAGACGGGGGAAACGGCGGAAGCGGAGGCGGGGACAGAAGCGGGGGGGGCGTTTCCGCCACGTGCGCACAAAAGCGGAGGTTGTTCCCCCGCAGCAGCAGCAACAATAGCGAGGTGGTGGGGGTAGAAGGCGGAACGGCGGGGGATGGGGGAGGCGGGGAGGCGGAGAGTGGTGGCGATGGGGGGAAAATGCATGGCGCCAATGCAGTTGGGGGGGGTACCAGGGGACGGTTGCGGACACATGGCTTAGGACAAAATCTAGGGTTCTTGAAAGGTGGTGGTGGGGGTGCAGGAAGCAGCAGCATTGTCAACACAGCTGCCACTACCACTCCCACCACGACCCACACCATTAGCAGCGGCGGCAGCAGCAGCTGCAGCCCCTTTAGTGGCAGCCCCTTTAGTGGCAGCCCCTTTAGTAGCAGTCCCTTTAGTAGCAGCCCCTTCAGCAGCAGCAAGGAAGCTGGGCGAAAGCAGAGCAGCTCCCGAGTCCCGGGCAGTCACAGCATTGGTAGCAGCAGCAGCAGCAGCAGCAGCAACAACATCAACAACAGTCACACAAGTAATGAAGTCTGTGGGAGCAGCAGCAGCAGCAGCGGCGGCAGCAGCAGCAGTAGCAGCAGAAGGTTCAGCATTGTCGGAGGCTCCGTCTCTAGCAGCAGCGTCAGGAGCATGTTCAAGAGCAAGAGCATCAGCGGCAACAACAACTACCCAGTTGAGACCCCCATTAGCCGCAGCAGCAGCAGCAGCATCTGTGGCGGCAGTGGTAGCAGCAGCTGCGGCGGCGGCGGTGGCGGCAGCAGCGGCATGAACTTCAGAAGAAGCAGCAGCAGTTCTGGCACAGGATTGGCAGCAGGAGGGGAAGAAAGGGGAGGGGAAGGAGCAGGAGGAGGAGCAGGAGGAAGAGCAGGAGGAGCAGAAGCAGGTGCAGGGACAGCAGCATCAGCAGCAGCATCGTCAGCAGCGTCAACAGCAGCTGCAAACGCAGGGCGGCGGCTGCTGAGAGTGATATCGTCAGTGTCAGTGCCTGTGTCAGTGCGCAGGGGGTTGGGTCTGCCGTGGCCCAGCAGCAGCAGAATGGCAGCAGAGCCGAAGCTGGTGAGGCAGCGGTCCCTCCCTGGCGTCACCCGCCGCGTCATCTGTGTCCCCTCCCGCCTCGTGCGACCATCACCACCCCCGCTGTCACCATCGGCTGCTGCTGCTGCTCCTGCTGCTGCTGATGGTGGTGCTGCTGGTGGTGGCTGGTGCATGAGCGGCAGGGATGCTACTGTAGAAGCGTGTGGTATAGGGGCTAGTCCCTTGCGTGGGCTTCCCCACACCCACACCCACACCCACACCCACGCACATGCACATGGAGCCACAACTGATGCCGCAGCAGTAGCAGCAGCAGGTGCAGCAGCAGGGGGAGCAGGGGAAACTGCAGGGTGGGGAGCAGGAGGGGGAACAGGAGGAGGAGGAGCAGCAGCAGCAGCAGCAGCAGGACCAGCAGGAGCAGCAGCAGCAGGGGCGATGCAGCGGTTTCACCTGGGAGCCGTGGTGGGCGTGGGGAGCTACGGAATGGTGTATGAGTGCGTGGAGGAGGACACAGGCATCACCTACGCAGTCAAAGTTCTGCGAGAAGCACCACTACATGCTCCTCCCTCCGCCCTGAGCATGGGCATGGGTTTAGGCATGGGCATGGGCATGAATATGGGGTTTGGAGCAGCATGGGGTTCGTTGCGGCGCCTGATTTCGTCTGGGCTTGCTACGGGCAGCAGTGGCGGCAGTGGTGCCGCGTCTGCTACTGCCAGTGGGGACAGCGAGGGGGGCATGGGTGCCGCTGCTGCTGCTGCTGCTGCAACAGCTCCTGCTGCTGAAACTGGAGAGAGCAGTGCCGATCATGCTGCTGCTGCTGCTTCCACTCCTTCATCTGCTGGTGCTGCTGCTGCTGCTGCGGAGTCAAGAACAACTACTGGCAACTGCAGCACCCAGAGCAACAACAACCCCGCACCCACCACCGCCCCCACCACCGCCACCAGCAGCAGCACCGGCGGCAGCAGCACAGTTCTACGTGAAAAAGTACGCCGGGAAGTGGAATTCCTCCGCCTGCTGCAACCCCACCCACACATCGTGCACCTGCACTGCGCGCACCAGGACCGCGCAGCCGCGTATGTGTTCACCGAGTACTGCCTAGAAGGCGACCTGCACCACAAGATCGCCACGCAGGGGCCGCTTCCGGAGCGGGACGCGGCGGAGGTGTTTGCGCAGCTCGCGTCGGCGCTCGCGTTTTGCCACGCGCGCGGCGTGGCGCACCGGGATGTGAAGCTGGAGAATGTGCTGGTTGCCCGGTGCCCTGCTGAGTTCTCCATGTTTGCTGCCGCTTCTCCTCTTGCCTCGGGAGGAGGGGAAGGAGGTGGAGGACGGGGGGATGGGAGAGGACGAGGAGGAAGGGATGGAGGTGGAGGAGGGGAAGGAGAGGGGAGAGGAGAACGGGCGATGGGCTGTGACGCAGAGGTGGGCGGCAAACGTGCTTCTTCCGGTGCTTCCCCTGACTGTGCTGCTGCTGCTGCTTCTACTGCTTCTGCTGCTGCTTCTGCCGCTGTGTCTGCTTGTGCCTCTGCCGCTGCTGGTGATGATACTCTCGCTGTAACCTCTCCTGCCACTGCTGCCGACACCAGCACCTGTGCTGCTGCTGCTGCTCCTCCTGCTGCTGCTGCTGCTGCTGCTGCTGCTGCTGCTGCTGCTGCTAATGTGGCCGGCACAGCAGCCTGGGAAAAACGCTCCTTCTCTACTCCCACTGACCGTTCCGCCTGGAACGAGCTCGAGGCAGCTGTTGGGCACAGGGGGGAGTCGGGGCATGGTGGCGGTGAGTGGGAGATGGCAGGGGAAGCGCGTGTGCGGAGCAGTGTGGGGACTCATGCGCATGGGCTGGCAGCAGCAGCAGCAGCAGCATCACCATCAGCAGGAGCAGGAGTGGCGGCAGCAGTGTCGTCACTATCACCATCACCGCCACCATCACCGTCACCATCACCATCCCCATCACCATCCCCATCAGCATCACCATCGCCATCACCAGCAGCAGCACCAGGGCCATCACCAGCAATGCGCAGAGTAGCAGCATCCGCAGGCGCAACAGCAGGAGCAGCAGGTGTGGTGGCCCGGCCTGCTACCCCACCCAGGCCAGCAGCTAACCCACACGGCACAGCAGCAGCAGCATGGGGAACAAGTAACCGTGGTGGAGGATCAATCATCAACACTTCTCCTGCCGGCTCTACCCTTGCTGGTAGCTCTACGCCTGCGAGTGGTGCTCCCAGCAGCACCACGGGTGGCGCCCACAGTGCTGGCTCCTCCTTGCACCGAGGCAGCGGGCGCAGCAGCATGTGGGGATGGGGATCGGCAGATGCTTCGTTCTTCAATGACCTTCCCGCGCCCATGCCCATGCCCATGCCCATGCCCATGCCCATGCCCATACACTCAACAACGCCCGTACGCTCTGGTGCTGCTGATTCGCACTCGCCGTACTTCCATCCGCGCTCACACTCTCCTCCCATCCCTGCACCGCCCTCCTCCTCCTCCTCTTCTTCCTCTTCCTCGTCCTTCTCCTCCTCTGAAAGTGTGTCTTCTGCTGCCCCTTTGGATCTCGCTGCTTCCTCGGTCTCTGCTCCCTCCAGCAGCAGCAGCAGTGGCAACAGTGGGTGGGGCAGCATGGGCAGTGGCCGCAGCACCAGCACTGGTTGCAGCGGCTTTAGCAGCAGTGGCAGCAGGGGCAGCAACAGCAGCAGCAGCAGCAGCAGTGGGTGGGGCACGAAGCAGGGTCGGTGGTCGGTGCGGCTTGCTGATTTTGGGTCTGCTGTGTTTCTGTCAGCGGCTGGGAAAGAGAGGTGGCAGGGCAGCAAGCCGTACATGGCACCGGAGGAAATAACCAGGGCCCCTGTGCCGCATGTGCATGGTCAGCAGCAGCAACAGCAGCAGCAGCAGCAACAGGAACAGCAGCAGCAGCAGCAACAGCAACCAAAGTACCACTGGAAAAAGGGCAGCCCACAGGCGCAAGGGCAAGCACAAGCACAGGCATGGGCACAGGCACAAGCACCACCACCATCAGCACCAGATCCTCACTCTGCTATAACTCCAGCAGCAGCAGGCAGAGGAGCAGACGCAGCAGCAGCAGCAGCAGCAGGTGAGGGGCAAACCCAGTTCCAGCCGCACAAGGCTGATGCCTGGAGTCTGGGTGTGGTCCTATATGCTCTGCTATCCGGCCGGCTGCCCTTCCTTGCACAAACTGACGCCGAGCTAGCAGAGCTGATCAGCCAAGGGGAGGTTGATTTAGAGGAGGACCCATGGCACGATGTGGGGAATGATGCCAAGCGTCTGCTGCTGCGCCTGCTTGTGCTGAGCCCTGGGGACAGAGCTGCTGCGTGCGATGTGCTTGATGATCCGTGGCTTCTGCGCCATGGTGTGGGGGTTGTAAGACGTCTCAAATGATGTGGGGCATGATGCTAATCGCCTGCTGCTGCTGCTACTACTGCTGCTGCTGCTGCTGCTGCTGCTGCTGCTGCTGCTGCTGCTGCTGCTGCTGCTGCTGCTGCTGCTGCTGCTGCTGCTGCTGCTGCTGCTGCTGCTGCTGCTGCTGCTGCTGCTGCTGCTGCTGCTGCTGCTGCTGCTGCTGCTGCTGCTGCTGCTGCTGCTGCTGCTGCTGCTGCTGCTGCTGCTGCTGCTGCTGCTGCTGCTGCTGCTGCTGCTGCTGCTGCTGCTGCTGCTGCTGCTGCTGCTGCTGCTGCTGCTGCTGCTGCTGCTGCTGCTGCTGCTGCTGCTGCTGCTGCTGCTGCTGCTGCTGCTGCTGCTGCTGCTGCTGCTGCTGCTGCTGCTGCTGCTGCTGCTGCTGCTGCTGCTGCTGCTGCGCCTGCTTGTGCTGAGCCCTGGGGATAGTGGTAGAGGTGCGGTGTGTGATGTGCTTGATGACCCGTGGGCTGTGCGCCATGGTTTGGGGGTTGAGTGCAGTAGGAGGGTTTCTTGTGTGGCTGGCAGGGGTGGAGGGGAGGGAGTGGGAGGGGAACTGGGAGGGTTGGTGTTAAAAGGTGGAGGTGGGTGATGCGGGTGAGGAGAGGAACGGAGATGAGTTGATATGAATGAGGTGTTATGTTACCTTCTGGGGGGGGGTATGCAAAGGCAATGTAGACTACAGTCAGCAGGATGTGATGTTGCACTGTAGGTATGTCGTTGGCTTTTTAAGGTAATGAACTGTGGAAATGCAGCTGTAGCAGTCGCACCTATTACTGTAGTCTCATAATTACACTTCATGAACAGAAACGGCTAGAGCACGGCAAGCATGAGACGATTCTATGAGGGCATTGGGCGTCTTCTTGTGTAATGAAATCTATGATGATCATCTCATAAAAACACGACTGAATGCATCACGTTATTCTGGCAGGTGCTTCTACATCCCGATCCTTTTCGAACATCCGGAGCGTTTTTCTTCACAAATGTTTCAATGAATTGTTTATCTTTAACACTTTCATAATTTCAAGTAGCGATCATCGAAGTACCTTAATTCGAACCCATTACAAGCATCAAGAGTGGTTTGCATCGAGTCTTCGTGGCTGAAGCAAGAGAATGCATCGCTCAGATATTTTCATCTCTCTCCCTTCTTTCCATTTCATTTCTTGCCCGATATTTCTCACATTGTTTAGGCTAAGTGGGAGAACATGTGCAGAGAAACTCTGAAGATACAGTGTCCCAGATCTTAAACATTGGTCAATTCCCACTTCCATCTAAAAAAAAATTGCAGCTTATTGCGCAACTTCATCCCTCGTGTTTCTCTGAACACACGTGGCAACTCTCAGACTGGCATGCCCTCGCTCGGGCATTGTCTGTCAGTGTTCCCCCCTTCCAGCACGGATTTTGGCGGGAGCGGAAACAAGCAGCGCGGTTCGAAGAGAAGCAAAGCTGGGTGGACTGTACGTTCGTCGTAGAAGCTGGTTGGTGCATTCAACTGCCATCGTGAGCCATATTTTTTGCGATGAGCTCCACCATCAGTTGATGGTGTGCAGGTTCGGCTCACGTCACATCCCAAACCATCACCCCGTCGAGTCGCACCTGTTTCTTTCCCCCTGCACTTTACGCGAAGACACACTGCTCATGACGAAAGTCGCGACGGTAGTGCTTGGCCCGTCACGAAAACAGGGTATGGGAGCGTCAGGACCTGGCGAATACTATCAAAATCGCGCGATTTCCATGCTGCTCTGGCAAACTGGTTGACCCCGCTTCGCACGAACTCCCGCTTTTTTGGCAAACAAGCTGCACGGACACCAAATTCTTGACTCCCTGGGCCTGCCCAACCTCAAGTGGAATTCAAAATCAACTGGCGTATAAACTCACTGCCATTCAGTCAATACCTTTTTTGGGTTGCGTAGCAACCCCTTTACATTTGGTAGCACTTTTTTCGGTCGACTCGAATGAACAGTGCACATTTTTGTCATAATCCCAACATCTGAAGCACTAGCTTTAACGTTTTGAGAACGTGTGCTTCAAATGTGTGGAGATGACAGCACTGCTACACAAGAGCCTCCAAAAAAAGTGAAACCAAATGAGACCAATTATTCCATAATCGTCGATAAATACGGCGAATGGAAACAATTGGTAGCAGCCTCGCCATATTTTACGGTACATCACACACAATTGACGAGACAACAAATTCGGCGTGGATGCAAATTACGGATTTGCATCTACCGTATCGAACATGTGCAAAACGACAACAATCAACAACAGCAAATGTCATAAAGTGAATGGCAAAATGCATCAGTGCTACAATAGCGATGGATCCGGTATGCTAAGGCGAGCAACGCTGCCCCAACAACGATCCCCACCTCAATTGCAGACCTGACACACTTTAACATGACACCTTACAACAAACACGAACGAGCACATGCGACATTGTACTGGTACAACGACGACAACGCATAACAATGAGTGTCTTGGGGAGAATGCTAAAATGCATCGATGATGCAACAAAGGTTGGTCTGGCACGCTAAGGCTATTGCCCCACCGGCGATCACAACCTGAGTTGCATACACGAGGCACTTCAGCACACGCCTTGAGACAGACACAAACGATACAAACAACACGACTGCACATGCACACACAGGCTCACACACACACACATACACACTGACACGCACGCAAACAAGCACAGATACATACGGATAGTCAACACACAACCATCATGAAATTCAGCTATTAGTAAATCATCACTAGCCAATCACCCCTTACCCTCCCTACACCCCTCCCTTCCTCCCTCCCTCCCTCCTTCCTTCCCTCCCTCCCTCCCTCCCTCCCTCCCTCCCTCCCTCCCTCCCTGCCTCCTTGCCTCCCTCCATCCCTCCCTCCGTCCCTCCCTCATCTCCCTCCCATTGCCTCCCTCATCTCCCTTCTCCGCCAAACATAATCAAAGAATGCAGCTTACGAGCCCTGCACAACGTAAAAACAGAGAATGCAACACGCCCTGCACAAGAAAGCAAAAACAGAGGATGCAACTCATGTGAGGAGGCCAATTAGGAAACAACTCACCCACACTGCATAAGAAAGCAAAAACAAAGAGAGTACACCTCATAGGATTGCACAAGAAGACAAAAGCAGAGAATGCAGCTCACCCACTAGAGACGAAATAAGCACAATGGAAAAAGATGAGCAATCGATTTGACAGCTCACAGAGGTAAATTGGTATTAGTCGTGGCACCACAGATACTACACCAGCATGATGCCATGCCTTGAAGCCACCCTCAAGTTCAACTTCACACTCACGTTCGCACTCAATCTTGTACTCAATCCCGCACCCACTCACACACGCACAAATACTCTCAACTTTCTTAGACACACTCACACAGAAACACACATACAAACCTACACGTTAACTCTTGCACTTACCCTCGCACTCATGATCATTCTCATTCCAATCATACGTTACACGTTACAAATACTTCCACGCGCACGCAAGGACACTCACTCGCACCTTTGCACTCACACTCGCACTTGCTCTCGCATTCACCCTAAGACAGTCTCGCTCTCAGCCTTGCACTCACACGCACACCCACTCATCCTCGCACTCACCCTTGAACTACCCTCACACTCGAGCTCACACTCACCCCAAACCCTGCACCATCATATTTACACTCACATTCACTCTCGCACTTGCTCTAACTCTTGCTCTCGTTCTCACCCTCGCACTCACCTAAACACGCACCCTCGTACTTCCTCTCATATTCACCCGCATACACGCACTTGCACGCACCCTCGCACTTACCCTCAAGTACATGCGCGTACTCACACTCGCAGTCACACCCGCTTTCGCACCCGGATACCGCCCTCTCACCCTCACACACTCCCGTACTCACTCTCGCAACCACTCACGGACGCACAATTACTTTCAACCGTTCTTAGACACACCCTCAGAAACACAAACACACACCCTTGCACTCACCCTCGAACTCGCGCACTCACTCGAACACTTTCACACTCACACGCACACACAGTCGCCGGCACGGTGGCACCCTTGAACTCAACTCACACCCACACCCACACACTCGCCCTCAAACTCACCCTCGCACTCACTCTTCTACTTGCCCTCACACACCATCTCACACACCCTCGCACTCACACCCGCGCTCACGCTTGCACTAAACATCGCAGCCACCATCTAACTCACCATCGCACTCACTCTTGCACTCACTCTCGCACTCACTCTTGCACTCAAACACATGTAATGTACTCTCAACTCTTCTTCGACAATCACAGAAACACACACACAAACTCTTGCACTCATCATCGTACTCACCCTAGCACACACTCAAACGGACCCTCGCACTCCCCCTTGCACTAACACACACTCACACTCGTACTCACCCTCAAACTCGCCCTGGCACTCACTCCCACAATTGCTTTCGCACTCACACTCGCACTTACGCTCGCACCTGCTCTCTCGTTCACACTCGCACTTGCCCTTGCACTCACAACCGCACTCACCCGCAAGTGCACGTGCACATCTAAGTCTCGCCCTCACGTCGCCCGTGCCCAAGCCGCCAGCAAGTGCAAGCGCCCACGGCGCCCGCGCCCACTGCACCAGCGCCTTAGGCGCCAGCACAAACGGCGCTCGCGCCCAAGGCGCCAGAGCCCCCGGCGCAAGCGCCCACAGAGCCAGCGCCTCATGGGGCAGCACCCACGGCGCTCGTGCCCTAAGCGCAAGCACGTTAGGTGCTAGCACCCACGGAGCCCGCGCCAACGGCGCAAGCGCCCACGGCGCCAGCGCCCTAAGCGCAAGCACCTTATGCGCCAGCGCCCATGGCGCAAGAGCCTTAGGCGCAAGCGGCCAAGGCGTCTGCGCCATAAGCGCAAGCGCCTTAGGCGCCAGCAACCACGGCGCTTGCGCCCACGGCCCCAGCGCCCTAAGCGCAAGGGGCTAGGCACAAGCGCCAATAGGGCCCGCGCCGACGGCGCAAGCGCGCACGGCGCTCTCTCTCGCGCCTCTCCCTCTAGTGCTTCCTTAGCTCTCACGCGCGCACTCTCCTGCGCTCTCGCTCCCTCGCGCTCCCTCTCCCCCCTCTTCAAATAGTAGTGCAACGCAACAGACCAATCAACACACAGAAACTACAAATACGATAGGAAAAATCGGAAATATAGGACCTTTCAGTAGGGGGAAGGGAGGAAAAAAGGACAGGGAAAGGTAAACGCACCTGCAATTCGCGGTGCAGAGTCAAACCCGCGCTCGCGCACCGGCTCCCACTCGCGCACCAGCTTGCTCGTGACCTGTCGACAGAGTCGGCGGCGGGATGGGAGGGAGAGGCGACGGCGGGATGCGAGGGAGAGGCGACGGCGGGATGGGAGGGAGCGGCGACGGCGGGAGGAGGGAGCGGCGACGGCGGATGGGGGGGAAAGGCGACCGTGATGCGGAGGGAGAGGCGACGGCGGGGAGGAGGGAGAGGCGACGGCGGGGAGGAGGGAGAGGCGACGGCGGGGAGGAGGGAGAGGCGACGGCGGGGAGGAGGGAGAGGCGACGGCGGGGAGGAGGGATGGGCGACGGCGGGGAGGAGGGAGAGGCGACGGCGGGGAGGAGGGAGAGGCGACGGCGGGGAGGAGGGAGAGGCGACGGCGGGGAGGAGGGATGGGCGACGGCGAAGAGGAGGGAGAGGCGACGGCGGGGAGGAGGGATGGGCGACGGCGGGGAGGAGGGAGAGGCGACGGCGGGGAGGAGGGAGAGGCGACGGCGGGGAGGAGGGATGGGCGACTGCAGGGAGGAGGGAGAGGCGACGGCGGGGAGGAGGGATGGGCGACGGCGAGGAGGAGGGAGAGGCGACGGCGGGAGGGAGGGAGAGTCGACGGCGGGAGGAACGGAGAGGCGACGGCGGGAGGGAGGGAGAGGCCTCGGCATAGTGGGAGGGAGAGGGGAAGGGGGGCTGGAATCGAGAGAGGATGGCGGGGTGGGAGGGAGTAGCGATGGAAAGGTGGGTGGGAGGGAGAGGCGATGACGTGGTCGGTGGGAGGGTGAGGCAACAGCTGGTGGGGGAGGAGAAGTGATGACGGGGTGGGAGGGAGTGCCAAACAAGAAACTACAGTAAACGAAAACGTTGGGGCAATCTGAAAGCCAGCACAGAACTTGGGCACTTGGAATTCAAAACAAAAACCAAACGCTGGTGCCACGTGAGAACACACACGGATAATCACGTGAAATTTGTGTGAGCTGGAAAACAGTTCAATTTGAACCACACTTTTGCTAGAGCAAGAACCGGATAGTATAGTGTTACAAAATATACTATTGAAGATATAAAACATAGTTGTTCACTAAATTTTATAAACTACTTATAAAAAAGACACCCAATTGTTCTATTCACCCATGGTTTAGCAATGGAATCATAAACTAGCACATTATTTCATAATCAAGAAGTAACTAGACTTGCTATATTCATTAATACATGAAAGTTAAAACTTGGTGCTATATAAATACATTAAATTGCTTGTCCTCGTGTTTTGTAAAATATGAATGTGACAACTACGCAACCCATCCGACGTTAACGTCGAATCTTGTTAAGCGTTAACTCCTGCTCAATCACACCAATACTGGAAACATCTATCGGGCTTACAGCGATACTAACTCCTATCCAAAATCACTTCCAGCTTTTTCTTCCACAATTCAGCCGTTGCGCCTTTCGAGCCCTTTATAACCAGCGCGACTCCGCACGATGCGAGAGATTCTTCACATCCAAGGAGGGCAGTGCGGCAACCAGATCGGTGCCAAGTTCTGGGAAGTGGTGTGCGACGAGCATGGCGTGGACGCCGGAGGAATCTACAAGGGCGACTCGCCGCTGCAGCTGGAGCGTGTGAATGTCTACTATAACGAAGCCAGCAACGGCCGCTATGTTCCCCGCGCCGTGCTATTGGTGCGTTCCGTCGTGTCTAGTCACTATTGTCACGTGTTCTATTAATCTTCCAATTTATGTCGGACTTTCATGTCTCACCCGCTGCGTGTGTTAAACTGACGCGGCAATCCTGACGCCGTAAAAATCTTCTAGCATCTCTCATCCGTGCACCCGTTGTTATCTTCCCTCTTTCTCTCTCCCCTTTCGTCCCTCCCTACTCACCTTTCCGTTTCCGCCTTACGACACCCCCCCTTCCTCGCCGTCTCCTCCGCAGGACCTGGAGCCCGGGGTGCTCGACAGCGTGCGAGCAGGGCCGTACGGCAAGATTTTCCGGCCGGATAATTTCGTGTTCGGGCAGACAGGCGCGGGGAACAACTGGGCCAAGGGGCACTACACGGAGGGCGCGGAGTTAATTGACTCGGTCATGGACGTCGTGCGCAAGGAGGCGGAGAACAGCGACTGTCTGCAAGGTGAGAGCGCGCTGGCTCCTTGCCGCGAAGCGGTGCAATTGTATTGCGTCACACTTCAACAATCCGCTTTGCACCCTCAATTGTTCCCCCCCCCCCCCCCCCACCACCGCGCCCCCGCCCCCCTTACCTCATGTTTCCCGCTCGCACGGCGCTTTATCTTTTTCCCCGCCCCCGCTCCCCTTCCCACTCCAACCCTCATCCCGCTTCTCCCCTTCTCGCCTCCAGGTTTCCAGGTCTGCCATTCACTAGGCGGCGGCACGGGGTCGGGGATGGGCACGCTGTTGATCGCCAAAATTCGCGAGGAGTACCCGGATCGCATGATGCTGACGTTTTCCGTCTTCCCGTCGCCCAAGGTGTCGGACACGGTCGTCGAGCCGTACAACGCGACGCTATCGGTGCACCAGCTGGTCGAGAACGCGGACGAGTGCATGGTGCTCGATAACGAGGCGCTCTACGACATCTGCTTCCGCACGCTCAAGCTCGCCAATCCCAGCTGTGAGTGCGCATCGTGTTGCGTCGCGCCACTTGTGTTCCCTCGTCTCCCCTCCCCCGTCTCATCCCCTCCTTCTCGCTCCCCCCTCTCCCACCTTCCCCTCCCGCCACAACCTTCGAAATTTCGTACCCCCATATCGTGTCTAGGTCCCGTCCCGTCCCTTCCCGTCTCAACCAAACCTTACCGTACTCTCTCCCATTTCCTCCGTTTCGCACACCTCCTTTCCCTTCCCCTTTCCCTACCCCGTTCCCCTTCCCCCTGCCCCGCTACAGTCGGCGATCTCAACCACCTCATCTCCGCAACGATGAGCGGAATCACGTGCTGCCTGCGCTTCCCCGGGCAGCTCAACTCGGACCTGCGCAAGCTAGCCGTTAACCTCATCCCCTTCCCGCGCCTCCACTTCTTCATGGTCGGCTTCGCGCCGCTCACGTCGCGCGGCTCGCAGCAGTACCGCGCGCTGACGGTTCCCGAGCTCACGCAGCAGATGTGGGACGCGAAGAACATGATGTGCGCCGCGAACCCGCGCCACGGGCGCTACTTAACGGCGTCCGCGATGTTCCGCGGGAAGATGAGCACTAAGGAGGTAGACGAGCAGCTCTTAAACGTGCAGAATAAAAACTCGTCGTATTTCGTCGAGTGGATCCCGCACAACGTGAAATCGTCCGTCTGCGACGTGCCGCCGCGCGGCCTTTCCATGTCGTCGACGTTCGTCGGAAACAGCACGAGCATCCAGGAGATGTTCAAGCGCGTGAGCGAGCAGTTCACGGCGATGTTCCGGCGAAAGGCCTTCCTTCATTGGTACACGGGCGAGGGCATGGACGAAATGGAATTCACGGAAGCGGAGAGCAACATGAACGATCTAGTGAGTGAGTACCAGCAGTACCAGGAGGCGAGCGCGGACGAGGAAGACGCGGGTGAATACGATGCTGAGGTGGCGTAACTCTGAGGGTCGTGCTTGCTCTCCCTCCATACTGTCGATACTAATTATTTCTAGGGTCTTTCACTTGCTAGCACAGCTTTCAGGAGGGGCAGGGGGGTGGTAGATACGGTAGGAGAAGAGAAGGGTTGTGCTGGGGGGGTGATTTGGTGTGCGTTGCATAGCTCACGGTGCCGCTTCCACTTTGGCCCGTTTGCTTGTACAAGCATGCTGGGATACCAGTGTAGGACAGCTTAGGATTACCGTAGGAAAATAAAGACATTGAGAAAGCTTGCTTTCTGTTTCTTGCAAGGCAACATGCTTCATTTCAATTGGGTAATTACATCATTCTCGTCCAACTAAAACATTACATAGAGATCAACTAGGGGCGGGTGGGGGGGGAAGCGGAACTGTAAAGTTCCGAAATGAAGACGTGGGTGGAGGCCAAATGGCCTCCAACCCTCGTTATGTACTCGGGAATATGCATTTGCAGTTGCCTTGCTTCACTACAGTCAGCTGCGCTTTCAAAATATACATTTTTAGAAAGTGTTTCACACTTTCAAAAAAATTCTTTTCTTGCATCTTCACTTCTAGGGAGCTTACACTATCAAGAATGAGACACTCTCAAAACTATGTATGAGACAAAATATGAACAAAACACCCTCATTGTAGATGATCAAAGCACACAGTGCACACTACACCACACCACATCACGGGTATACCACGGCTATACATGGTTCACACATTGTAGAGGAACAAAAACACACAAGCACACCGACTAAATTGGAGGCCTCAGCATGATATGGCACAGTGGTGGTCATAGGAGGAGCTGGGAGAAGAATTGCTCAAACTCGCCATCAATGGTCAAGGGCTTGCCTGCTCTGATCAAGCAATCTGCACGACAGGACGAGAAGGAGAGTGTGGATCAGTGAGAGATGGAGAGGGAAGTGTAACGGACGGAGGAGTGATGGAGGATGGAGGAGGAAAGTTGGAGGGAGGAGAGGTGGAGGAGGAAAGCTGGAGGGAGAAGAGGTGGAGGAAATAGCCAAAAGCTCTCTCTCTCTCTCTCTCATAAACAAAAACAATCAGAGAAACAAAACAGAGGCGGGCTTGCCTGAGGAGAGAGATCGCCCTGAAGAGAGAACAAATTTGGGAGATTCCTGAGGGTCACCCATGGACTTGTCATCATCCCCACCCTCCTCCTCCTCCTCTTCCTCGTCCTCCTCCTCCTCCACTCCTCCAATAAGGTGCTCCCAGCGTGCAAAGTAATTTCTGCATTTCACACGTGCATGTTGAGGCTGCTGGCTGCCATGTTGATCTTGCACCTGCACCTCGTGCTCCTCCTGCGTGAACAGCATCCTTCCCATCTCTCTCCTCTTCACTCGCTTGCCTGTTGACCGCTGCTCTGCTCCATCCGCGTCTCCCCTCCCTCCTCCACCCCACTCTCCTCCTCCTCCATCTCTCCCTCCTCCTGTCAAAGCCATAACCGGACAGGAGCTACCCTCATCACCCCCTCGCTCATGCCTCTTCTGCTCGCCCCTCGACAGGGAGTCATCACATTCAAGAGCTGCTGCAGCTGAGGCATCGCGTGCACTCACACCCACACATCCGCCCTTGCTCATGCACCCACCAACACTCTCCACACGACCAGATGCTGCTGCTGCTGCTGCTGCTGCTGCCGCTGCCGCTGCCGCTGCCGCAGCAGCTATGGTAGCCCGATGGGGGGGTGAGGCGCCACGGCGAGGCAGAAAGAGGAAATCAGATGGAAACTGTGCCTTACCCGCACTACCCCTCACGTCTGCTTCACCTGCTGCAGCAGCTGCTGCTGCTGCTCCCTCTGCTGCTGCAGGATCGGACCTACCTACGTCCCCCCCAGCCCCTTCTCCTGCTGCTCCATGCCCTTCTCTGCTAGTTACATGTCCAACGATGCTATTCTCCCCTCTCCGCGATTCTATATCGCAACCTGACCGTTTCTCAAAGCCCCTTCTGCAACTGCCACTGCCACTTCCATTGCCATTGCCACCGCCAGCGCCGCAGCGGCCTGTGCAAGCGGGGCCTGACCAGGCACAACATGACCCACACGTGCTTTCAACCCCTGCTGTCGCTGCTCGTTCCACCAACGCTGCTGCTGCTCCTCCTCTTTCTCCTGCTTCAGTTGTTGCTGCTGCTGCTGCTGCTGCTGCTGCTGCTGCTGCTGCTGCAGGGCCTACTGTCGCCATTGCTGTTGCAACTGAGGCGCCATCTGTAAGCAATTGACTTGCTTTCTTGCCACCACCCTCACCGCTGCCAGAGCTGCCTACGGCACTGCTGATTCGCCTGCTGCTACCGCTGCTGCTGCAGCGACTATAGAAGCCGCGTCTGCTGCCAGCCATACCTCTTGGCACTCTCACAACAACCTCAAGAGAATTTGCTACTGCCACTGGCGCTGCCGCCATTGGTGCTGCTGCTGCTGCTGCTGCTGCTGCTGCTGCTGCTGCTGTTATTGGTGCTGCTGCAGCGGCATAAGAAGCATTGGAAGCCACGAGCAAGGGAGCTTTGACCTCATCCATCCAACGCTCATTCTGCTCCTCCTCCTCCTCTCCTTCCCGCTCCCCTCGCCCTCCCCTTTCCACCTCCCTCCCCGCTCCCACTTCCCCTTCCCTCTCTTCCCCCAAATCACAATCTCCCCACGTGCCTCCTTTCTGTCCCCCCAAAGCACTCCCATCCTCTCCCTCCCTCTCCGCCTCGTCTTCCCCGCACATGCCTCCCGCATGCCCTTCCCCCGCGGAACCGCACTTCCCCTGCGCTCTCCCTTTCTCAACTTCCGCGCCCCCCGCTCCTCCCCCCCAAGCCACCGCCACGCGCTGGCGCTTGGAGAAAGGGGGAAGGTCCCAGGACGAGGGGAGGGTGGGGGATCTGCGGAAGGGGGTCTGGGGGAAGGACTGCGGAACTTGCTGCGCTATGTGGTGCGCCAGGGGCGATATGCGCTGGTTCTCAAACATGCCTCCCGCGGACGGCGGAACCGGCGCCAGTGGTGGCGCAAGCGGTGGCGCAAGAGGAGGCGGTGGAAGGCGCGGAGGCGGAAGAAGAGCGGGAACACAGGGAAGGGCTCCAGGGCGCTGCGGCGGTGCCAAGTCCGCGGACGAGAAGGATGCGTCCGCGCGGCGGTTCGGGGGAACTGAAGGGGGCTCGGGGGAGCCTTGCGGAGGTGAGTGTAACGAGAGGGACGCGCAGGGAGGCGCGGATGGGGCGGCGAGTGTGCGGAAAGCGGCAGTGGCGGGGGCACAGGCCGCGCACGCACGCGGAGCGGAGGGCGGTTCGTGGAGCGGGGAGGGGTGGCGGGAGTAGCGGTGAAGGGGGGAGCGGTGAGGGGGGAACGGGTGCGGAGGGCATGCAAGAGCGGCCGGCGGAAAAAACGTTGTTGCTGCTGGTGGTGGCGGCGGTGGTGGTGGTGGAGTTGCTGACGTCAGACACGCTGAGTCATCCCAAACAGCCGCTGAAGTCGGATTCGACTGGTATACACTGCGAGAACCGGGAACAGGGGGAGAGGACGGGGACGGAAACGGAAGGATAAAGAAGTGGGGAGTGCATAGGCATGTGGTGCTGGACAGATGAAGGGAATGAGCGAAAGCTTATTCAGGATAAGGTGTTTCAACGAGAGTAGAATCAAGAAAAGGTGATTCAGCGCACTGACCTCTTCCGCTTCCGCCCCGCGCCCTCGTTCTCGCCTCGCGAAACCCGCGCCGGCCCCGCGTCTTGCCGAACGGCGCCCGCCCTCCAATCACCGCTCCTTCCGCCACTCTTTCCACGCGACTGGCACAGCTCCGACTGCTGTTCCGCCGCGCTGCGCTCTCTCCGCTCCGCCCCCGCCGCCACGTCCCACGCCGCGCCATCCTCTTCCCGCGCCCCCAGGAGCCCTGCAGGCGATGGCTGCGCGGAATCGTCTGCTGCAAGGCGCGCGGCGGAAACAGCAGCGGGGACTGCCGCGTCTGCAGAGCCGCTTGCACCGGCGGTAGCGGCGGCTGGTACGGCCGCGGCTGCCGTCGGCGGTGCTGGTTGGCTCTGGCGTCGTTTTCTGACGAGGATTCGGCGGGCGGTGAGGGATTGCACGGGTGAAGAGGACTTGTGTGTGAGGGTATCCATGCACATGGCGCGCGGAGGAGCGCGAGGAGGGGGGCGCGGACGAGAGCGGGAAGAAGCGGGTGTCTAGTGCGGGAAATAGAGAAGGTAAGCGGATTAAGTCAACATGCTTCAAACTTAGTTGGCCTAGTCTGAACGCAGAGCCTGAATATACTCAAGCATCAAGCGCGTATGCGTGCCTGCGAAAAAAGGTTTCTACGGGCACGGGAACTAACGGATGAACGGAGAAACAGGCGGACAGCGTGGCTTAGCTTCCAGATTCAAGTTATACCCTAATGAATAATTGCTATGGAGTTGGCGTCATTCGCGTTGTGGTATCAATCTGGCGGGTGAGCATGTGAGTGAAGTTACCACAGTACACTGTGGAGGGCGGAGGACTCGAGTCGAGGGCCTCCAAGAATCTGGGCTGGGCGCACGTCTGGAAAAAGCTAGGGTTTCGTTCGTCATGTTGATGACCTGTTTGGTAATCTGTTTGGCATGGGTGCTGCTGCTGCTGTTTCTGTGGCCACTGCTCCTGCTGTCGCTGCTGCTGCTGCTGTTGCTGTTGCTGTTCTGCTTCTCCCCTTGAGATTCTCCCCTGTCTCCCTGTTATGAGTTGTATGAAAGAAGAGTGCGCAGAATGCAATATCGCGGAAGTGATTACAACTACTGAGCAAACGAGGCCTAGGCATAATATAGCACAGCTAGCTAGGCCGAGGTCGCGGAGTCGCGCGAAGGTTGGGTGTAGGTTTGGGGTTGGGAAACCCGAAGGCGACGCGGGAGACGTCCGGGAGGCGAGGTCGACGGACCGAGCCTGAATTCCGAAAGTTGGAATTGTACGCGTAAGAGATGCCTCAGTAAGGAATTAGCGAAATTCCTTACACTACCCCCCCCCCTCAAGAAAGGTGGTCAATATCAGGCACATGTCGGCGAGAAAGATACTGCCGAAGTACCGAGTGCCCTTGTAGTGAGTCAGCCGGGACCCACGTGTCATCTTCACTTGTGCGATCCACCCAGCGTAGTAGGAAGTCGACGTGGCGTCCAGCGGGGGTCGCACGAATGCGATGATTCAATATCTTCCAAGGTTGAAGCGTCGGAACTGCCACAGGTCGGACACTTGGCGCCTGGTGGGGTCGAGCGACGTCGGATGACTGCGGTGCCACGTAGTGGCGAAGTAAACTGACGTGGAAAGCGTCGTGAATTTTCTAGTCGTCCGGTAGTAGAAGTTTCGCAGTGACCGGTGTCAGCATCCGAATGATGCGGAAAGGTCCCACGCAGCGGGGACGCAGTTTTGCAGGTTGGGGCAGCTTGAGGTTTTTCGTGTCCAGCAGGACCATCTGCCCGTCACGAAAGGGTAAATTCCGTCGATGTTGGTCGGCGTAGCGGCTGGCGGCCGTATTAGCCTTCCTGATAAATTCCGCTGCTTTGTCGCGCGCTGCTTGTAGTTCCGAAACAAACTGCTGCGACCTTGGTACCGGGTTGTCGGGAGTCGTTGACGAGGGTACCACCGGATCTATCCCGTAATTCAGGTAGAACGGTGACTGCTTGGTCGTTGCAGATGGGGCGTTATTGTACGCAAACTCGAGCATGGGAAGGGAATCCTCCCACTTGGTGATGTCGGGGCAGTTCGTGCGAATCAACTGCTCCATCGTCTGGTTTGTCCTCTCTGTCTGTCCGTCAGTTTGCGGGTGGTAGGACGACGAAAACTGCAGGCGGGTACCGTACTGTGCCCATGTCTCCTGCCAGAACTTCGACGTGAATTTCGGATCTCGATCGCTGACGATCGCCGAAGGTAACCCGTGTAGGCGCACGACGGTCGAGATGAAGAGTTTTGCTGTTTCTTCGGCTGTGATCGTCGTACGGCATGGTGCGAAATGCGCCATTTTCGTTAAGCGATCGACGACGACGAGCACGGAGTTGTTGCCACTTGCGCTAGCTGGTAGTCCCGTGACGAAATCCATTGTCACTTGTTGCCACGGTCGTTCGGGTGGCTCGAGGGGCTGCAGTAATCCAGCTGGGCGTTGTCGTGATGATTTCATTGCCTGGTAGGTCGGGCAGGCGGACACGTAGTGCTGCACGTCCGACGCCATGTCGGGCCAGTAATAATTCCGCTGCAGTAGCTTCAACGTTTTGTCGACGCCGAAATGCCCGGAGAGGTTGGAGTCGTGTACTTCCTGCGTCAGTAATTCTCGTAAGGGTCGGTAGGAAGGTACCCAAACTCGGTTAGTACCGACTTTTAGGTAGTAACTCCCATGCGTTGTAGTGACCCCGTGGTGTTGATTGGTCCTGAAAAATCTGTCAATTCTGTAGCCGTGCTTGAATAATCCTGCCAATAAAGGGTTAGAATGGGCGATTAGTACTGCTGCGGTCTGCATCGATGGGCGGGTCAGGGCGTCGGCGATGTTGTTGGCGCCCTTTTTATATGTGATGGTGTAGCTGAAGTTGGACTCGAGGTAATCGAGCCACCGGATTTGTCGTGGGTTGAGCTGTGGTTGGCTGCGCATGTACTGTAATGACTTGTGGTCAGTTCGGATGGTGACGTCAGCTCCCGTGAGGTAACAGCGCTAGGTACGAAACACATGCACGATGGCGAGCATTTCTTTGTCGTGAACCGGGTAGTTGCGCTCGGGCGGCTGCATTTTTCTTGACTCGTATGCGATGGGTTGCAGCCCATTGCCGAAGTCCTGTAGTAGCACAGCGCCTACGGCGAAATCGCTGGCGTCCGTCACGACTTCGAACGGCCGAGATGGATCTGCCAGCCGAAGCACCGGGGGTGAACTCAAAATGTTCTTCAGCTCGTCGAAGGCCAGCTGTTCTCTCTTCCCCCAACCAAAATGCACGCCCTTATGCAGAAGATCGGTTAACGGCCTGGTTACCCCCGCCATATTGGGTACAAAACGGCGGACGTAGTTAACGAAGCCGAGGAAACTCTGCAACTCAGTGATGTTCGCGGGCGGCTTCCACTCCGAAATCGCTTTTACTTTACGAGGGTCAATTTTAATGCCCTCCCCTGAGACCACGTGCCCCAGAAACTCCAGCTCCGACCGTAAGAACTCGCACTTAGAGCCCTTCGTAATCAGCCGGTTCTGCTGCAAGCGTCGGAACACCTCTTCTAAGTCCTGTAAATGCTGCTCCCGAGTCTTGCTGTACACCAGGATGTCGTCCAGGTAAACAATGACCTTCTTGTCCAGCATGTCCCGAAACACCCCATTCATGGTGAGCTGGAAAGTCGAGGGTGCGTTCGTCAACCCGAACGGCATCACAGTGTACTCGTAACTGCCGTAGCGGGTGCGGAATGCGGTCTTCGAGCAGTCGTCGGCGAACACACGAATTTGGTGGTAGCCACCTCGCAAATCGATTTTCGAGAAGAAGCGAGCCCCGCGAAGCTGGTCCAGCAGGTCGTCCGCTCGTGGGATTGGTGCAGAGATAACTGCTGCAACGGGAGCTAGACTTGAGAAACTGAACGAGAATGAATTGACTAAGGGAAAGTTGGGTACAAATGTAAACCCTAGAAAACTGTACCCCATATGTGCTACCCCACTATAGCCTACAGTAGCTATGTCATATAAATCTGACACACCCCCATAGGCAAAGTGGGGGAGAACAAGGGGTCACAAGACCAGTCAAGCAAAGCAAAGCAAGCTCAGGGTGGATCACAAAGTCACCACACATTCCGAGCACAAGTTCAAGGCCACAAGGCCAGTTCACATGCAGGATTACATATATATATAAGGCTAGACAAGCAAGAGCAGGTGTATATATATATGCAACAGTACAAACAAGGTCAAGGGGTGAGCAAGTGAGGCAAGGTAGGCACAAGACCCAGCTGAGTACAGAAGCGCTGATGATCACAAGGCGCAAGTGCCTTGGTGAAGATATCAGCAGTGTTGGCCTGAGAGGCCACGTACGCAAGCCGCAGCTGACCACGCTGCTGTAGCTCACGAGCAAGGAAGTAGCGGAGAGCAATGTGCTTCGTTCTGTGCTCCAGTCTCTGCTCTCGACACAAGGCCAGCATGGCCTTGTTGTCTACGTACAGCACTGGAGGAGAACGAGGCGGCTCTCCGAGGTCAGTCAGCAGGTAGGTGAGCCAGCGAAGCTCCTGTGCAGCCATGGCCCCGGAGTAGATCTCAGCCTCACAACTGGAGCCGAGAACAGAAGACGAGCGGGTAGCCCGCCACGAAACAGAGCCGGAACCAAGGCTGAAGGTGTAACCCTGTGACGACCGCTGCGTAGCCTGGTCGTCAGCCCAAGAAGCGTCTGCGTGCCCAGTGAGGACCACTGGACTCTGCCCTCCAAGCACAAGCCCCATGCCCGACGTACTGCACAAGTAACGCAACACCCTCTTCGCTGCAGCCATGTGCTCCGGTCTGTGTCTCCCAGGAGCAACATAGCGTGCGAGAATGCTAAGAGGGTATGCGAGGTCAGGTCGTGTGCAGGTCATCAGGTACATGAGGCAGCCAACAAGCTCTGGGTACAGGCCACTCGACTCTACGGACTCATCCGAAGGCAGAGCTGAGAGCGAGTGGCGAGTAGGCAGAGGAGTGGCCTGAGGCGAGGAGTACGTGAAGCCGAAGCGCTGAAGGACCTGCTGCACCATGTGTGACTGAGTCAGGGTAATGGTGCGGCGTGCTCTGTCCCGGGTGATCTGCAAGCCAAGGTAGCTGCGCAGTTCACCCAGGTCTGTGCACGCGTGTCTCTTCTGCAGCTCGGACTTCACGTGGGCGAGTCCAGCAGTGTCAGCTGTGGCAAAGACCAAGTCGTCGACGTACACGAGGATGTAGAACGGCGGCAAAGAAGTGTCGGTGCGCAGAAACAGCGACGGGTCGGCAGTAGAGGGAGCAAACCCAAGAGCCGCAAGTGTAGTCCTCAGTGTGTCGTGCCACTCACGCGGTGCCTGGCGGAGACCATAGACTGGCCGCCGGAGGCTCCATTGGGTGCCAGGAGGAAAAGACCCAGTGAAGCCAGGTGGGCGACGCAGCCAGATCTCCTCGTGCAGGCTGCCCTGTAAGAAAGCAGTGCTGAAGTCAAGAGAGTGCAGCTCGTAGTCGCGGTGAGCAGCTATGTGCAGAAGTACCCGAAGAGTGGTCATCT